ATCATTTAGCCTCTTGCAGATTGCGCGCCAACGTGAGAAAACTAGAGTGAGAAAAGGAGCTGTTTTTGTTGCGACGCCTTGAAGCTGCTTTTCCACCGTTTGAACCGTTGGATGAGGAAACAGGGCTACAGCTTCGATCTCATCGACGGCAGATCGGTCTCCTTGAAATGGCAAGGCCCAACAGGTGCATTTGGGCGGACAAGATATTGCAATATATAAAGTGGTGCACGTGCATACGATCTACAGCTTCAAATGTGCGTAACGACCTGATTCTCAAAGAGCCAAACGTTACATCAAGAGCAATTTGCAATCGAACCCCGCAACCCTGGCAGGCGCTCGAACGTGCGCCAAACGGTCACATCTGGTGCCGCCATAAATGGAGCAGTCCATGCTGGCAAATACCGGCCAGAGGCTTTCTTCCTCCAAAGTTTTAGGGCGCTTCTTCCTAGGATTCATCCATTCAGGATCACAATCCAACTCCCCCCATTCGCAGGGAAGGCATGGCAAGAAGCGCCCCTCGCAATCGGAGCGCATTCTCGCTGGAGGGGGGGTGGCTGGAGGTTTGGGCGGGGGCGGGGGGGGAATGGCCTCGAGTACACCTGGCAGTGCTAACGGAGGGAGCAACGGCGCCGTGCGAACCACCGTAGCTACATTGCACGTGCCTGAGCCGTGGGTCGACAAAACAACAGGGAACCAGGTCTTACCGCTCTCTAGAAAGCTCAAGGCGCTCATTCACGGGGTGGTGTTCTGGGAGGGCCTCGAGGGCGCATTGCAATGGCTCGTTCTCGGGCACTTTGCGCTGATGCTCTGGGGGTTTGGCGACTTGATGACACAGCAGGTGCTGTGGCTGTCTTACGGGATACTAGCCCAGGCTATCCTGAGTAAGTTGCTGCACGTACAATCTCGCGGGCTGCCAGCTGGCGTGCCGTGCGCGAAGGTCCCGCTCCAACGCTCCCTGCAAAACGCGCTTGAGCTCTACTGGGCTGTGGGCAATCCAAGTGTCCTCATTCTGGGTTGCCAGGTGGCGGCGCTGTGGTTCTTCTACTTTTACCAGCGCGGCAACCGCAGGGACCGTTACTTCGACATCGGCGCTTTCCCCGAAGAGGGCGCTCGCCGTTTCGAAGAGCTTCTCCTAGGGGGCTGCTGCTTAGCGTCCGCCTGGGCCCTCTCCCTCCTCTGGCTGGCTCTCATTCGGTTCCGAATCCTCGGTGTCAACTACCGGGGGACCTCCTCACTCAGCGCCGCAGTCTCAAAGCGCGCCCCCAGTGCTTGGCACAGCTGGTACGTGCACACCGCCCGGCACCCCCACCTCGTATTGGATGGGGCGAGCTCCGACTGCGGCCTTCCTGCTTTCTGGTCCTACGGCGACATAGTCTCGGCGTCGTTGGAGCGGTCGATGTCCCGGGGGGGGGCGTCTGAAGGCGCGATGGGTGCATTAGCGATCCTCGCCAACGAGGGCCCCGAGGGGCGCAAACAGGTGCTGCAAGAGAACGGGTTCCGGGCGCTCGTCGAGAGCCTCGCGAACGGCGCAGATGGCGTGCAAGTGCAAGCGGCGGCCGCGATTGGGTCGCTCGCGTCTGACGCCCTCGCGATGAAATACGGCGCCGCCGATTTGGTATCGTGCATTCCTGCGTTGCGGGAACTGGCGCGCACGGGGCCGACACCGGATGCGAAGGAAAAGGCGTCGGGGGCGTTGTTGAATGTGGCGCGGAGCGGGGGTCCTGAGGTGCAAAAGGCGATATACACGGAGGACAAGCTAAACAATCAGAAAGGGCTGGATCTTCTTTTGGATTTGGCGCAGAACGGCCCCACGGCAGCGTGCAAGGTATGGCACCAAACGCTGTATTATCTCCGAAGTTCTCAGAGCGAAAGAGATGATCTTTCAAACGCCGCTATACAATTTTGACAGAACTTCAATTGACCCTTCAATCAGTCTCTTTGAGCAGCCTTGAAAGCAAGTGGCATGGCGCCTGTGTTCGTTCTTTGGGTGTTCACAGCCACCTTTACAGAATGTTAAACTGGTTCTTGACCACCTCTTGACCATTGACTTGACCAGGCTCCCATCAACCTTGAACAGATTCTTGACAACTTCCTTCACCACTTACCAGGCTAAAGCAGTCGGTGTGAAGGTTGTTTTGGTCCTTGGGGAGGGCGCTGTCTCTGTTCTCCGCAATCACATGCATCGTTTGACCATCTTTCAAGGGGCCACCACCAGGTATCCAACTCTTGGTCAATCCCTAACCAACCTCTAACCGCCCTCCTTGACCAACCTACTAAGGCACATGCGGTACGCATGATCGCCCCCCTCCTATGAGCCCACCACGCATGGTCTCTTGATCGTGCCTAAATCAATCACTAACCCTCGACACTTGACCAGACCTGGGCCACCTCTTTGCAGCTTGGAACAAGAATTTAACTACTACGTAACCACGATTTCAGGCAAATGTGATTGGTAGATGGCCGTCCTCAACCCCTACAAGCGTGCCTGCAAGCAGCTCCAAAAATACGTCAGCTTCTTCGCTGCGGTGTTAACCAACACTTAACCAGCCCCCAACCCACACACCCCACCCTTGATGCCTCTGACCCCCAAGTCTCAAACCTTACAGGCAAATGGGGTCAGAGTAGTAACCGCCCTTGTTCATTATGTGCGTTCCTGCGCGCAGCTCCTCAACCACACCCATTGCTTAACCCACTCTCAGCCAGCCCCCGACCTACATGTCCTGCCCGTAACCACCCTCTAACCCACTCTCAACTAATCTGGCGACTGCGATCAGCACAATGGTTGCAATTGTCTCCTACAAGCGAGCTCACGATCTTCGCGGCGGTCTTAACCAACCTTGATCAGCCCCGAGCTTCCATATCCACCTTCTAACCCAATTCTGAACCTGTCCAGGCAAATGCAATTGGCGTGATGGCTGCCCTCGTCCCCTATGAGCGTGCCCGTGCGCAGCTCCTGAAATACGTCGGATTCTTTGCCGCGGTCGCTTCGCACAGTTACAGCGCCGAGTGCAAGTCGCGCGCTGCCGGCGTGTTGTGGAACTTGGCGTACTTTGACAGCGTGCGGGTCGGCACCGAAGAAGGCGTCATTCGTTCGCTTGTCGGGCTGCTCGACCTGCCGCAGGCGCAACGCAATGCGACTGGTAAGCGATGCACTTTTCATTTCGAAGTACCTCAATTTCTTGTCATGCAGAGAAAGTGTCTGTCTTTAGAACTTTGCCTGATTGTCAGAAGTGCTCACTTTCGGCCTCAGTCTGTGGAGCCGCAGTTGGACTATCAGAGAACTTGCTTCTCCCTCTTTATTGCCCACACTTTTGACTTGCAGGACAAGTTTTCAGAGCTTCTTCCAATCAAACCTATTGGCAGTTTTGTTCTATGAGACTCTGCGGGCATGCTCGTCGCAACAGTGGACAACATTCGTTCAGCCAAAACCAACATTCCTAACCTCCCGCTAACCTTCTGCAGGCGCCCTGGCTAACCTGGCGGTCAACAACCCGTACAACCGCGTCGCGATCGCGTCCTTCCCGTCCTCCATCCCCGCCCTAGTTGCCCTCATCCAGGGCCAGGAAGGGATCCCCCTCCAAGAGACGCAGGAGTTTGGTGCGCTCGCTCTCGCTAACCTGGTAGAAGATAACCTGAACAATCAACGAACAGTGCTCTCGGAACCGGGGGCTTTAGATGCGCTCGTAAGACTGTTGCGGGTGGAGGGCCCGTCGGCGGAGGGGGAGCATGCGGCGCGGGGGAGTGGCGTGCTCGAGAACGCGGCACCGCAGGTGGGACCCACTGACATTGACCGTCCTGCTGGCAGTTTTGTTCCATCATTGAGTCTTTTGGGTGTCAATTCTGAGGCAGAAGAGGCAGGTATGGGGGCCACTGCAGGTTTGTCTGAAAATGGTGTAAAAGGTCGTTTTGGGTTTGCTTCGGAAGGGCTGCTGCTTCCTCTTTTAGGCAGGTTTGGATTGGAGCCGATTCGTCGGAGCCCCGCTTAGGGGGATCTGACAGCGTGCTCAACCACCTAATCAAGATTGATTTGCTGCAGACGGCTGCTTTTACATAGTTTGTTGGTCACCTCTTCCGAGCTTGACCACAGTGCAGGAACTTTGGTCTCCCTCCACAAAAATCTTCGATACGTCAGAGCTGCAAGCTCTGCACTCCCTCTCAACACTGCAAATCTTTGAGGCTGCTTCAGGAAATTCGTTAGAGCATACGTGGCGCTCGTCCCCAAACTAACAACACCTGCTAGAACCCGAAAACCCGAAGATCCTTCGCTGCCAGAATCTTGAGAGGTTCTAAACGCGTGACATTATGTTTGCAGGTTCAAGAAGCCGCAGCACGCGCCCTCGGCAACCTCGCCGCGGGCAGCTCCGAGAACAAGACGCTCATGGCCTCCAACCCGGGACTCGTCCCCGGTCTCTTGCACCTGCTGAAACCGACGACTCGGGCATCAACCGGGGCTCAGGTAGGCGAATTTGCAGAAGTTTACAATAGCCAAATTTATCTTGATATCCATACTGATCAGTACATGTCGAGTCCATCGCGATTCTCGCGTGATGACGACGGCGCTGTAGATCTGTGGCAAAACATTTGATTGACTGCCAAAAGAAATGCATCGAGCAGGGATTGAATTTCTAGCCCAATCTGCAAGCTCTAGCCATGGGCAGCCCAGCCGCATCCGGACACGGTCCTGCAAAAGGTTTGGGCCGAAGGGAGCAAAACCCCTGGAGTGTCCATGTCTGACGTCGAAGAAAGACATGAGCAACAGAATTTCGAGCTGCCCTCCAGCCATTCCGAACTTATGCTCCCCGCGTGCAGGAAGAAGCGGCGTTGGCGCTCGGTAACCTGGCTGCCGGCAGTATGGATAACCAGAGAGCGATTGCAGGACAACCTGGGGCGCTTGCGGATCTCGTGAGGCTGTTGAAGGGGCCCGGGGGGGGCGCGACGCTGTTTGCGCAGGAGTGGGCTGCATATACGCTGGCAAACCTGAGCGCGGGGAACGTGGAGAACAAGGTGAGGGGGCGTGCTGGGGTTTAATCTTGGTTTTGAATCTGGATTGATCTTCGGAAGCGTGAGGGAAGAGAGTCTCCTGCTTCTGGATTGTGTCGAAAGTTCACTCAGAAGCGAAGCCTTGTTGATCTCGAATCGTTGATGTAGAGAGTGCCTTTACAGGGTGCGTGTTTGGGCAGTATTTCGACTCCGCTTCTTGTCTGAGAAAGTATGTTGGGCTTTGTGCGCAACGACTGTGTGGATGATGCCATAATGTAAGATTCAAATTCAGATTGACAGTTTGGCTTGGTTGTGGAGCAGAGGAATGGACCGGTTGAACTCAAACCATCTAAAAGGTACCGGCTTTCGACACTATTAACACGCAAACCCCCTGTAGATGGCGATCGGGCGCGAGCCGGGCGCGATCCCATCCCTAGTTCGCCTCCTCCGTGGCCCCGACCAGGGCTCCACCATCGAGTCCCAGGAATACGCGGTCGGCGCGCTCGCGAACCTCGCGGCCGGAAACATCGACAACAAAGTCGCGATCAGCTCCGAACCGGGTGCTCTCGCCGGTCTAGTTCGTCTGCTCGACCCGCAGCAAAACGCGACCCCCGGCGCACAGGAGGACGCGGTCTTGACACTGGGGAACCTGGCAGCCGACGTGCCAGGCACGCAGCAGGCGATAGTGTCAGAGCCGGGCGCGTTGGCGGGGTTGGTCCGTCTGCTCGCCGGCGCGGCGGGGGGGTTCACTCCCGAAGCGCAAGAGTGGGCCGGGTATGCGCTGAGCAATTTGTCGGAGGGGAATACGGACAATCAAAAGGCGATCCTTGCGGAACGGGGGGCTGTGACGGGGCTCGTGAGGCTGCTGGGGGGGGGTGACGTTGGCGCGACGTCGCGTGCGCAGCAGTGGGCTGCGCATGCGCTGGGGAATTTGGCGGGGGGGGATAAGCAGGCGGTGATTACGAGCGAGGGGGGGGCGGTTGCGATGCTAGTCAGGTGAGGGTTTGTGGTTGCGATTGTACTATCTTGGGTCTTGGGATTCTGGATTTGTAACATGTGAGTCTGTGGGGTTGTGGGTTTGTGTATCTGTGGACTTGTGCTTTTGTGACTTTGTGTCTTTGTGGCGGTCACCATGCTCGTCAGGTGAAAGTCCGCGAATGGGTTTGTGGATTGTGGAAGAAGCGAAAGTTTGGAAGCTAAAAAGACGGTCATGAGAAGGTCATCAATGTATGGACTTTCAACATTCAAGGAAGTGAAGACTCCAAGCTGTAAGCTCTAAGGAGTACACCACTGTCCTTGTGTTTCTTCAACGGTTGCTCGCTATCCGCCAGCAGGTTCGGCTTTTTGTTGCACTCTACCAAGTAGACACGGCCTGGCTGTACAGGCCAACATTTCTTGCTACAGCTCAGAACTTCACGAGAATGCGACCCTATGAAACCGGGCGCTTTCCAGGCAATCTCCAGGTCTCGTCCCAATTTGATTCGTCAGAGAGAGACTCACCGAGCGTGCATCTCGGAGCGTCAAAGCCCGACGCTCACTTCAGACTACCGCTTTGCAGCAACCAAACCTCCCCGGCCCTTTCCAGAATGATTTTTTCCACTCAAGATCATGACACTTTGGTTATCCATAACCCAATAAAAGTGACCTTAGGTGCCTCGCAGCCGTACCCACCTTGAACCCTCTGACTAACACTACCCGTCCCAGGCTGGGATTCTTAGATCAATGCGCATTTCTGTCACGTATCTTTTTCCAGGTTGCTCGGCCCCGACTCCAACCCTGCTCTCCAAGAGGAGGCGGCACGCACTCTGGGCAATCTTGCGCGCGTTAAATCGTACAACAAGCAGGTCATTGCCGCGGAGCCGCCCGCGATCCCGTGCCTCATGCAGATGCTGGCGAACGATCAGGCCGCACAAGGTAAGGCCTTTACAAATGTTTCACGCTTCCTGTCGAGAATATGCCCGTTTGGGGAAATCTGAATCCGTTAATCGAGCTGCTACAATAGTGTGCCTCTAAGGAAGTGCTGGCAGACATCTATGGCGCGCACTTTTGCTGCAAGAAGGGCTATTTAATAGGACCCAGTATAAAGGTGCCCTTAAAATTCGCGATGTACCATAAGTCTTGGTGATTGTGCTCGGTAAAGCCGCTTGCAAGCCACTTTGTGACCAAGGCGCAAGGTACGTCCGTATAATTCCGTTGATGTAGTTTCGTTAGTCCGCACTAGCTGTTGCAGTAGTCTCTTCGTGGGAAGTCGAACAACTGAGGCACTCCCGCCATAGTTTCTGCGAGTTTGATTTTGTTTCTTCCGAATTTCTGACATGAGGGGTGCGTGGAGCCTTGCGAAGTCGACCGGATGCCCCTTCCTCGCGGCTCATGAAAGTCGGGTCGGCTTCTGCAAACAATGCAACAGGTTCAGATTGGATACACTGGACCATTGTACGCCCACGTCCAAGTCGCAGTTGGTCATCGTGCCAATTCCGCACTTTCCGCTTAGCCCGCCTGAGCCCAGCAATAACTTCGTAGTGCCATTTAAACGCTTTACACACCCTTTTTTGGTCCTCTGCAGGTGCTGCAGAGCAAGCTGCCTGGGCTCTCGGCAACCTCGCCGCGGGCAACGCCCAAAACAAGATCGCCATCGCATCCCAACCGGGCGCAATCCCCATGCTAGTTCGCATATTACGTTCCTCCCGGGAGAGGTCCCCGGGCCTCCGCCAAAACTGCGCGCTCGTGCTCGGCAATCTCGCGGCTGGAAACCCCGACAATCAGCGCGCGATCGCGGGCGAGGCCGGCGCGTCGGGGGGCCTCGTAAAACTGCTCGCGCCGCGGTCGGGCGCGAACGCAAAGGCGCAGGAATGGGCCGCGTATGCGATCGGGAATCTCGCGCAGGGCAACGCGGAGAACAAGATTCTGCTCGCGGCAGAACCCGGGTTAATCACCGGGTTAGTGCGGGTTCTCAACCCGGAACCGGGCGCGGCGGTCAACACGGGCGCGAAGGAAGAGGCGGTCCTCGCGCTCGGGAATTTAGCGGCCGGAAACGCCGAAAACAAGGCGGCGATTTTCGAGGAGCCGGGCGCGGTTTCTGGGCTCGCGAGACTTTTACGGAGCGCGGAAGTTGGGACGTCGCCGCGCGCGCAGGAGTATGCGGCGGGGGTATTGAGGATTTTGGCGGCGGGACATTCGCCCAATAAGATGAGCGTATTTTTGGGAACTGGGGCGATGCAGGGGTTGTTGGACGTGGCGAGAGCCGGGTCGGGGGCAACCCCCGAGGCGAGGGAACAGGCGGAGCGGGCGCTGAAAGTGTTGGAGCAGGGGGGCAGCGTTCTGTCCAGTCCAGGTACGCTTTTTTGCTCGCTTTTCTGTTTCCCTCTGCTTCATTTGTGATCACTTTATTCTGCTCCTATGGGCGTCTTTTGCGCTCGTTGAATACAGTCAAGGCCCCAGAAAGAATCGACTTCTGAAAAGTGTTGGAGCAGGGGGGAAGCGTTCCGTCCAGTCCAGGTACGACCGTTTTGCTTGCTTACTTTTTCCCTCTGCTATTTCCCGCTCCTAGACGAGGAAGCTCTGACTTCTCTGAGTCTGTGAGCGTCTTTTTCGTTTTCTGTGAGCCTCTTTCGCTCGTCGAAACTGTCAAGGCGAATGAGCCGACTCCTCTGAAAGTGTTGGAGCAGGGGGGAAGCGTCCCGTGCAGCCCAGCCACCAGCTTTTTCGCTCGCGCTTCTCTTTCTCTTTGCTTCATCTGGGGCCCCTTTGCACTCGCTTGATTTTGTTTCGGCGGACCTCTTTGGCGCTCGTCGAGTACAGTCTTTTGCGCTCCGAAAAACCGACTTCTCTTGGGTGTTGGAGCAGGGGGGCAGCGTTCCGTCCAGCGTTTTGCTTGCTTAGTATCCCCTCTGCTCTTCTCCTGTTCCCGTTGTTTTCTCGATCTTGTCTTTGCGAGCCTCTTTTCCACTCGTCCAATCACAGTCAAGACTTTGAAAGACTCGGCTTTTCTGAAAGTGTTAACGCAGGGGGGAGCAATCCGTTCAGCTCAGGAACTTGCTTTTTGCTTGCTTGTGAATTCTGTTTCCTTCCTTGCGTTCCTCTTCTTCTTTGCGAGCGTCGCTGTGCATGTCGAACCACAGTCAAAGTCCGAAGAAAGTGCTCCTTTATAGATCATGTTGTAGAGTCGGGCAGGGTGAAGCGAGTCACGCCCATTGGCTTCTGCTACGCACTCCTGATAAGCCCAGTTTCAAATGAAGACAGCATTGAACCGTTTCTCAATCTGTCTCAGATTCATTTCCGGCTCAAAGCTTTCCACCTTCGCCATTCTTTCCCCCCTCAAATTGACTTGGTTGATCCTTGTCCCCTCAATTAACTTCTCTCATTTCCCCCCCCGGCCGAAAATTGGCCCCCTGATTCTCATCATTCTCGCACACTTCCCCCCCGGACGGCAGGCAGGGCCCCTCCCCCCCGTCCCCCTTCCAAGCGAGCAGCTCAAGGGATCCCCCCCAGACGCCGCTAAACCCCCATCTAAAAGTCTTTTCTCCTCCCCCCCCAGGTGGCAGGCAGGGCCCCTCTCCCCCCTCCCCCTTCCAGGCGAGCAGCCCAAAGGGCCGTCTCGGGTTTGTCGTTTACCCCCCATCTAAAGTCTTGTATTGTCCATACCCCCCCATCATCTAAGGCTTCTACCTCTTCATCTCCACCCCCCCAGGTGGCAGGCAGGGCCCCTCCCCCCCGTCCCCCTTCCAGGCTAGCAGCCCAAAGGGACCCCCCCGGAGACGCCGCTCCTCCTCCGACACCAGCGAGGGGGGTAGCGGCCCGCTGAAAGCGTTCGTCGACGGCAGTTCTTCGCAACGAAGAACGGCGGGCCTTGTTCGGGAGGGCGCGTCCGGGAGCTTGTCCCGGGAGAACAGTTTGGGGCGGAGCAGGGGCGAGCGGGACAGGGCCTCGGAGGAGGTGGACAATGTGGCCGGGGCGTAAGGTACGCTAGCGGAGGATAGCCGATGGACTTGAGATTGGCGTTAAGTGCGTGAAGTCTTGAGACGGTGCATGTCTTAACGTCCTGTTGCGAGGAGTTTCTCTTATTCTCGGCGTTTGATCTTCACAGTGGCTCCGCTGAATTTCGATTGCAAACGAAAAGCGAAAATAGAAGAGAGTAAAACCCTGATCAGACAGGTTTATGCGTGAAGGATGCTTCCGATTCCTGTATCGTGGGTGCGATGACAAGGTTTGTCAATTCTTTATCCTGAGCTTGTGGTTGATTGGACTCGTTGCTGTACGCAGCTCACTTTCGATTGCTATTTGTTTGGCTGGAGGCTGGAACCTCGACAAGACTATGTTGGATTGCTTTCATCCATCACTGCAGAATGTCTTTTACCAAACGCGACGTGAGTTGATTGTTGAGTTGATGTTGTTCTTTGTGCAGGCCACCAGCGTGACGGCTACTACTTAGTCACAGAACGGGTTTCGAGAAATCGGAGTCTATTCCCGCCAACTCGACACCTGTAATTTGTTCGCCCAGTTTAGACTGTTTTCATTTGCGATCACTGGTCCACTGTTCGCAGGTTGCTCTGAACACCTTTAGGCAGGAAGGTTCATTTATTGTGAGATTTAGAGTTGTGTGCGGAGTAGTCAGGTCAGACTCTGCATGTCGGAGACAAACTGTCCACCTGATCACTTGTATTTATCGATCTGTACTGACATGCATTTTGCTTTTGAAGGATACCGCATTTCGTTTCGTCAACTCAGGTCAACTTGCTGGGCTTCAAGCTATTTAAAGGTCAGGTTCATGAACGAAGAGTGCAATGTCCGGATGGTACAAAGGAAGGTGCAAAGTCACGGTTGTGTCAGCCAGTGCAATGGCACATGTTCTGGAAAGTGTCTAAACAGCTGCATGGCCTCGATGCTGGGTGCGCACAAATCGATGATCAGTCCATATCATCAAGGTGCATTTCCGCATAGGGTAGAAATCTGATCCGCCATGTCCTGCCAGCGCTATATTCTAGCTGTCAATCCAATGGCACTGTTGCAAACCGGCGCGCTAATCCGCTATATTGAAGCTTATGTAAGTGACGACGCGTTTTGCATGACAATTCGTTCATACTAATTTCTCGAATTTCTATATCGTGCACATGGTCGGCGTCACTCATGTTTCAGCAGCCCACTCGAAGATCGAGCAGCACTGCAATGCATTCACGATCATTTAGCTAGCATGATTTTGCCTGCATTGAGGATGCATGCCCTGACTCATCATTTGCATGTTCAACGTACGATGCCGCGCGGACTATAGTTCGGTTGGCAGGCACGACATAAGTTGTCGCACGCCAATGGCACATGCCACATGCCAGCAGATGTTTACTCTATGCATATACACTTGGACCATGTGTATCGTAAGTTCACTGAGCCAACTGACTCTTGGATTGGTTTACACCTGTGTCCGAGTCTACAGTAGTCTTGTCGAGCGCCGACTTAAGGCTCCCGACCGCTGCCGAGTGCCTTGAACGTTAACGGTGTGGGCTGGCAGCCCTGCTGCTGCATCTCTTCTAACACTTCTAACGCTTCCTCCTGCCGGTGCGACCGGCTCAACGAACTAATGATCGTGTTGTAAGTAACTACATCCGGCCTGATGCCGCTGACTAGCATGCGCTGCACTACTTCTCTCGCCTCTAGTTGGCGGCCTAGGCAGCACACCGATCGGATCGCGGCGTTGTGCACGTAAATTGACCCCTGCGATTCCTGACACGCTCTCCTGTACATCTCTAAAACCTCGCTATGTTGACCCGCTTTTGACATTGTGCACATGACCTTTCCGTACACGTCAGCACCGACCCTAAACCCCTCGGTCTCCATCGTTTCTACCAAAGTCAGAGCCTCGTCAAGTAAGCCCGCGCCGCTGCACGCACCGACAATCTCCTCATAATCGAATCGGGTTAGCTTAACCTCCCCTCGGTCCGCCAGCTCCATAACCCTGCTCACCAGCTTCTTCGCCAATCGCTTATCCCCTCGAGCGCACGTGCTTATCAAACCCCGCCAAGCCCGCCCGTCCAAATTCTGCCCCCGCTTTTGCATCCGGTCCAGAACCTCCCAAACCTTCCCGTGTTCGCCCTGACCCGCCAGCGCGGTTAGCAGCAAACCCCACAATTTTTTTCCCGGTGGTATCCCCCGGGCTCTGGTAAAGATGGCAAAGTCCGCCGCCCTCTTCGCGTCTCCTTCACGAACCAGGCCTTGAAGCACTGTCGCGTAAGCTGCGGCCCCCGGACGTAGTCGGGACAATTTTCTGGGTGCCTTTTCTGCCCAGCGAAGGACGTCGAGTGCCCGGTTAGTATTACCCCGGGTGCTTAACTCGTGCAGCAGAAATGTGACGTCCTTGCTGTGAAGCAAAGACGCGACTTCGTCGAGAACCTGAAAAGGAAGAAGCTGGGTCAGCAACAACAACTAAGTGATAAGTTGCGAAGCCTGGTTCGGTCGACTCGGCGGATATGCCTGATCGAGGCCCGTTTGACAGCCTGTCTTATCATGACTTGACGAGAAGGTTGGAAGCTTTGAGCTGCTGAGCACGAACATGGGACAATCGCACGGATTGCGTCAGTAAAGTCCACCCACTTGACGCTCCCAAATGCCTTTCCGTTGGGACCAGCTTGAAAACCTCGGGGGGAGCATAAACCGTGCTGCCTCGACGAAGTGTGTGCTCACAGCAGACTCAACGCAAGCAATCGCTACATTCAAGAACAATTGCTGGAAAAGCTCTGCAAGAGAGTATAGAGTACTCCCAGCCAGTCTATAGCATTCCCTCTCCTCTGAACGAAGCAGAATCCAGAGGAGATTTTCCTCACATGGTTCACATCCCCTTCTGCTGCAACCAACAACCGCTGCAACACGTCCCGCCTCGCCTCCTCCCTCATCTCTGACGTCACTGCGCTACTCCCTGTGTCTGGAACCACCAACCGGCCGCCTAAGCCCCGACTAATCCCCGCCGCTTCTCTTATTGGCAGCACTTTCCGTTGCTTCGGCGGAACCGAACGGAACGACCCAACCGGCATCGTTTCCACCTTCTTCCGATTCACGATCTCGTGCGGCACTGGCCGCGGCAGGGGGGGGAACAAGAAGTGGTTTTCTTCGACTGGACGCTTCTCCATTTTGCCCCCCGAAATTTCAGCCGCTTTGGGGGGGGTCTCGACCGCAGGCGTGTCCCCCCCTCCCCAGCGGTCCGCAAACTTTTGGGCGTAATACAGCCTGCGCTTGTTCGGCTGCCACTGCCGTGCGCCCCCAGGCTTTTTGTCGTGCTTCGGCTCGAACGCCTCAACTCGAACCTCTGGTGACGTCACTCGGTCGTCAGCGAACAGCTCCAGCCCAACGGGAAGCCCTGTTTCTGGCCGGGGCTCCTTGACCTCCCAGGGCTGCCGCAGCAAAGCCTCGTCCTCGTCGGAGGCTGACAGGGCCTTTTGCTGGCGCCTTTTCAGAACGTGCTGCGTCTTGTAAGTTCGCTGGTGGAGGGGGGTCGAGATGCGCGCTTTTGCAGCGGAGGCGTCTTCTAAAACATCAAGGAGGGGGTCCAAGGCAGCGCTCGAGTCCTGGGGGGGTTCGTCCGGCTCAGAAAACCACCCCCTAGGAGTAGGTTCAGACTCGTTCTGTTCGGTCGAAGGCTCCCGTTGCTTGCTGACCCAACCGCCCTTCAAAAACGACGTCAAGGTCTGAGGGCTGGAGCCTTCACCGAGTGTTCGGGAGGGCCGGTGTTGAACAGACGGGCCGAAGTTCTTCCTGCCAGACCCTCGATCCGCGGAGAGTTCTTCCAAGGACTCCATCGGTCTTCGAACCTTCCCCCCCAGGAGAGAACCGCTGTCTGAGGGACCCCCCAAGGGGCCACTCTCTCCTCTCGCGGCGGTCACCGTAAAGAGGGCGGCTAGGTCACGGTCAAGGGCACCCTCGATGTCTTCTTCCACGCCCAAGTCGATGTCCAAGCGCTCCGCCAGGCTCGCTTCCAGCAAGGCTCTGTTCTTCTTTACGATCGCCGGATTGTCTCTCGCCCCTAGCAAAGCACCGCGCTCCGTCCCATCCGCGGGCTGTTCCTCTGTCAAGCTGACAGGTGGCATCGTGGAAGCAACCTTCTCCTGCAGCTGTTGATGGGGACCTTTCCGACGCTCTTGACTCCACTCCTTCTCAGCTGTGCTACTCTTGCCAGACTTCTGCCTCACCCCGCCTCTCAAGCCCCTCCCTTTCTGGCTTTGTCCCGTGACCTCTTCCCGCAATCCCGGCGCTTCTTCTGACACCCGCCTCTGGGCCAGTGTAAAGGCCTCAGCCAGAGTGGGCCCCCCAGACTCTTCCTCATCTTCCCCCTCCCCCACCATCTCTACCTCAAGCAGCTTTTGCAGCCGGCCCAACTTCCTTTCTCGCAAACCCTCCCCTTCCGCTGTAACCCCCACCTCCAGAACTGCCCGCCTCGCCTCCGCTCTTAGCGTTGTTACCCCCTCCCAACGTCTCCTCTGCACTTCAAACTTCGCCCCCGCCGAACCCCTGCCCCTTGGACCCCTCTCAAGAAACGGCCCCACTTCTTTTCCGCCTGCCCAGCTGTACTCCTCTCCAAATACTGAGCCATCAAAACGGGGCTTGGAAGTCTGGGGAGCCTCCTGCGCCGCAACCGCCGGACACGGATTCCCTCTCCTAGGCCGCCGCTTCGGCGGCCTTGTAACATCGTTTGAGGGGCACACGACAGTGTTCTGAGCGAGTCCCCAAGAACAAAGCCCCTCCCCCAGCTTGCGGAAGAAGAGGGGTCTGAAGGGCTGAAGGGCTGAAGGGCTGCTTGCAAGGTGGCTACCGCAGGGAGCCCTTATGAGAGTTGGAGGGAGAAGAGTGCGGGTGCTCATAAACCTGGCTTGACTGGCGGCCATCCTGGTGGTGTTTCACCATGAGATCATCTGCAGGGTCCAAAGAGGACATGAGCTTGAGGTTTCTGGAAGGCAAAGAGTTCAGAATGCGACAGCACCCTTTGTATTTCTGACTTCAATCTTGATAGCACAACCAGAAATCAGCAGGATGAGCGGACGGCGGCTTTGAAAACTGATGTCCAGGTATGATGCCACGCACTTTGGTTACTCAAGTGCAGGTACTTTGGGGGGACGAAATGATAGCATACCAGACTTACCCCTCAAGTAAACCCGTCCCAAGCCACATTACACGATGGTCAATGCCGGACTGGAGGTGGTAAAGGAAGGGTGCTCTACGGTGCTGACTAATATTCACCAAACCGGAGGACAAGCGAAGCAGTTTGCGCCCTCGCAGCGTCACCCCTATTCCATGAGCTCAGAAGTGTTTCCCCAGATTGGATTGTAAGCAGATGCAGGGTGAAGACTCTGGCGCCCTTCGCCCCTTATCGCCTCGCTATCATGGAAATACTCCTAAGCACAAGCAGCTTTCTAAGCACACGAGCTCCTCAAGAATGCACAAATTTGCCCAATGAGCTGGCTGTTCAAGTCTGCAGCAGTGCAGGCGCCCACCTGAGATGGTGATTGAGACAACGAGAGGAGCTTCAAGCCTTGGGTCGAGCTGCATGACGGTTCCACTTTATTTACCTGGTTAACGGTCCCGGTTATCTAAGCAGCGCTGCTGTGAGCTGGAGACCGGATCGAGGTTCGATGAGCCCGGTTAGTCTTAACCGGCAGGGAAGAGGAGAATGGAGGATGTCGGCCAGCAAACCAGTGGCAGTGGCAGTGGCGCAAAAAGGTCAAAGAACGGAGTTGTAAAAGTGTTCACATGCTACTTTACGCGCAAGGTGCGTCAGCACCTGTGGGCCAATTTGACACCCCGGGCGCTCTGCTCTCCTCAGTGACAATCTGCAGCTTTTTGGTTAAGGGTTAGCCAGCCGCACACAACCAGATGGTTTCTGAGGGTCAGCTCGATCACGGTTAAGGCGAGCTTCGGTGGGGCTTCAGTGCTGTTGCTCGTTCAGACCCCGGTTTGGAAGTTGACTTGAGAAATGGTCACTGTTCTGTCATGTAGGAAGGCTGGCTTGCTAGTTAAAGTTTTTGCCCGGTAGAGAGGAGGAGGGGCATGATAGGGTTGCTCGGTCCTTTGGTCAAGTATCTTGAATGACGCGCTACCGCACGCGCGACGACTGGATCTTCGGCAATCTGGCGGCCGACAGTGCCGGCCTAGGTAACACATGGCTGGTAACACTTTACCAACTCCGTTCCTATGTACTACTTGCGGCAGTGGCAGGATAGAGCAGAAGTGACACTGAAAAGTGGTGCGGCTTGGTGGGAGCTGCTTTAGGAGTCAGACCCTCTTCGCAGGGTTGGGGGCACCTCATGATGGCTTTACGTGGGGGCCATGACATGATGGCATTGGAGATGAAAAGCGCCCTAAACTTTGTGCGGCGTCATCTCCAAGCAGGATTGTCGAGGCAAACTTGGCACCGGTGCTACTTCCAGCACACTCCATGGAGACAGGCTAGTTTTGAAAGCTTCGGTATTTTACATACAATGCGGTCCTTTGTTGAAACATCGTGCGTCAATGACACCGGCCTTCGACCACTAAAGCCATCACCTTTTCAGTACCACCACTCAGGGAGTGCTGGATCGCTCGAGCCCATTCCAATCAAAGCTGGAAACTCTACTCGAAGATTAAGTGTAAGTAGTCAAGCATTGAGTGGGGGCAGTGAAGTTGTTCAAGGGTGTCTGCAAGCAGAGTCGCTGGGGGGAGATGATCAAGTAGAGTTCCAGGAACTGGAGATTGAGAAAGTGGAGGTAAGAGTTACAAAGCGAGAACTGAAGTAGGTTCTCGTCAGTTTTGATGAGGTTTCAAGGGGCAGTTGCCTAACTCACAGATAGCTTTCCAGTCTGTGAGGCTGTTCTTGGTAGATTGATGCATTTTCCTGGGCCAGTTTGCCAATGAGCAGAGAGTCTCATCGACTCTCTGCTGGTGGGGGTTTGAAGGCCTGACCTGGAGAGGTTTGCCAGGTTTCGAAGCGACCGATTGCTTGATATCAGAATACTCAAAGTCCACTTACACGCTTTGATGAGTACTTCATCAAGGCCACCACTGGTTCTGATGCCTGCAAGCCTCAGAAGCACGGGGGCACGGATGTCTGTTGGTTCCAGTTGTTTGTTAGCTGTTGATGGCTCCTCTTTGAATCAGACAACCGTTAGTCATATGGTTGCTGAGTTAGAACCTTGTTGGCTGCAAGAAAGTCTAGAGTTGGCCAACTACCCATCTTTGCCCTTGTTCACATCACACCATAGTCCAAGACTCAGTGACAAGTGGTCTTTCTCTTTGAACAGAACGCTATACTTTTTGTCCAGACTGCAACCTAAAAAGAACCAGTCTTAAGTCTATCCTTGGTGTTCACTTGCAGATTGCTGTTGCAGGGAGAACATTCACCATTGTGCAACCGACTGCCATGGACCAAGTTCTAGATATGTACATAGAACAAGGTGGGTGTTGAACAGAAACTGCTCAACTTTACCTTTTTTTATTCCTCTTTCCTTGTCAGCGCACCGTAGACAGACTTCCCTTGTCCGTTTCCATTCTTTTCTCTACCTTACATCAAGCAGAACCTCAGTTGCTCCTGTTCTTCCCTCAGTCGGCCAAAGAAGAACGCGTCGGGACAACTAGCTTTGGAGAGATCAAGCCTGCAGAACTTGGAAGTTCGGCTCCAGTGTAAAATGGAGTTTCTGCACTTCTCTCTTGCAGACCGCCTCGATAGGGACCCCTACTGGTGTCGCCTGTGGCCTTCTGCACTAGCTCTAGTGGAAGAGGTGCGGTTTCTTCTACTTCTTTCCTGACCCTGATTGGCTTTACAAGCAAGTCAGCAAGCCTGGAACAATCCACTGGCGGGGCCGCATGACTTACTCTCTCAACAAGATTCCTAATGGATTTGAATCATATCCAGGATCGAATCCTTGAGCACGATGGCGAATCTTGTGGAATTTTTGCATTAGTTCTAGATAAAAAACAATTTAAAATGCATATACTCTGTACCTAGCCGTGAATTCTTGCTTATATGTGAATACCTTGATTCCATCTCGAATTTTGTCAAGACATTTGTTTTGCGATGGCAGATTACCACTCGTCCCGAACTAGTGAAGGGGCGCTCTGTGTGCGACTTGGGCGCTGGCCTTGGTAGGTGAGCGATCTACTTTCCTAGCACTCCCCATGACTAATCTTGTGAAGCTTTTATAATTTCAGGCTTCTTTCGAGACTTTCTCTGGTACCACTAATCTGATAGAATTGTGATCTATGCCCCTGATCTGATAGTCTGTATTCTGCAATGGAGTCGCCTGAATCAGGATTGAGAATGACTGCTCCTTAGCTTTTCCATTCTTGCATCGTAATTTCAGACGTGCTGAAAATCGGTCGATTGCAGGATTGGGTGGCTTGGCTGCGGCTCTGGCAGGAGCTCGTGAGGTACGAAACTCCTCTACTCGTCCCATTTTTCAGCTTTCATGTGTCAAGAGATTCTCTTCGCAGATGCCGCATAACCATACATGCACAGGTATTCGCTGTCAGCCTTCGTCACTCCTGAGAACGTGTTCTTCACCGGAGAAGATTTCGATGCTCGTCCCTCGCTAAAACTCTCCTGCCTGTCCTTGTCTGTTCAAGTAGCAACATATGCAAGTCCGACCGGATTACCACTTTGTCCAATCAAAAATTCAAAGTCCACCTAATCCTCCAGTGACTATCAGCTGAAAACACTTGCGGGCGTTTGGTTTCGTCGCTTTCGGTACCGAAGCTGCACGTTCTCGAAGCTCAGCAGACGGAACATTGCTCGCCGGCAAGTACAGTCGTCGTCGTAACTGTTTTTTTGTCGAAGACTGACTCAATCTGGCCGGTCAACTGATTACGGTTCACCTTAAGTAAATGCAAAAGGATCAATACGAGATGATTTGTCCCCCTGCCAGGTGGTCCTATACGACCGGGAGCCCCTGGCCCTCGCGTGCGCGCTTATGACCGCCCGTGCCAACGGCGTCGACGTCGGCACTTTCGGCGCGTTCCACCACTCCCTTCCCTTCTCCGATTCGCTCCTCACGAGCCTGTGGTCCTTCTCAGAACCTAGCGGGGATGAGCCAGAAGGTAGAGAAAAGGGGGGGGGAAGCGAAGGAGAGTTGCGAACAGGGAGCGTAAGCGGGGAAAGTTCTCGGAAAGGGGAAAATAGCGGAGGAGGGCCTGGAAAAGCGGGGGTGGGTCCGGTGTTGAGAGCGGAGCTGTTTGACTGGAGCGACAAAAGTAGGTCGAGAGCGGTTTTTGACGTGGTGAGGCGTCGTGTTCTTGTGGTGGACCTGTCTCACGTCGTAGTTCGGCTTCGTTCTTTGCGTCGAACTCAGTTGGCTTGCATGATAGCTGCAATTACTTGCTACTCTTCCGTCTGTCTGTCGTTTACCGTTGACAATGTTGCTCGTTCTTTTCGTCCAGATCAGACTTCCAGAATCAATGAAGATAGCAGTTGCGGTGTTGTTCCTGCGCCATAAAGGCTTTGCTGGATTGGTGCCAGGTTCTCCTTGTCGATTCTTGTGGCACAGTTCCTTCTTTCAGAGCAACCGAGAGATTCTCTTGACATACGACAAGCCTGCTTGCTTTGATGGAAAGTGCCGCGAGGCCTGACTGTGCGTGGCAGCGTCTGATAGCGTCTGAATTTGTGCCACGTGTCCGCAGGTGCTCGCGTGCATTGTTAGTACAAGCAGCTCCGTATCGTTACTCTTATTCTCGGTGGAAACCCAATCGGGGTTCCTTTCAGGACTACGAGCGGTTTTACAAGCGACTCGCCGGCGACGGCCTATCGCTTCCGAACTTTGCCACGTGTCAATTAGTGCTGGCGTGCAACGTTCTACACGAGAAGCTTTGCATCACTACCGTCACTCGCGTTCTGAGTTAAAGCACACTGGGGATTCCGGTATCTCCTTTCGAACGGACTTGAGCCCTTTTTCAAGAGATCTCGTCCGACGGTGTCCTACCTTTTGCCACGTGTCCCCAGGTGCTGGCGTGCGACGTGCTGTACGAGAAGACGTCCGTACCCAAGGTTGCCGACGTCCTGCCGACGCTTTTGAAAGACGGGTGAGGCGCGGTGACACGACTCTCTTTAGCAACGACAAGCGCTTTTGGACTGACGGTACTTCATTATGCATCGTCGAAGCCAGCTCTACGCGCGATAGCTGACACGGATCAACGGAGACTGGTCAATATGAACTTCGGGTCAAGGCTCGTTTTTTGGTGAAACATCCTCCCTAGGAGGTGGAAGGTGAATTGTCTGCTTTCAAGAAGCATCCCTCCTTGCAACTCTTTGCAATTATTCAGGTTGCATTTCTCCGATTGAACGCGTTCCTTTTCTTTGATGCAATGCTGTTCACTGCTTCCGACATTGCGGATTGATTGCTGGCTCGAAGGCGGATCCCTTTTTGCTGAACGCTTGCGACTTGCAGTATGAGTTGCCCAGTTTGTGATGCTAAATCGAAGTTGTGTCGTTGTCTTTCGGTGGTCGGAAACACATATTCCAACCATCTTTGCCTAGATTAATCCACGATCTGAGATGCGATTGTAACATTTCAGCCTTGACTCGGAAGTATCAAGCCTGTCGGATTGCTGACTTGGTACTTGTGGCGTTGCAGGACGCACAGCCAAGCCATCATCAGCGATCCGACGGACCGGTGCCCTGGAAACAGGGCCCGCTTCGTCGAACTGCTGGAGGGGCGCGAGGCAGGGCAGCCGGAACCTCGGCGAAAGGTACGCGAAAGATCCGACACAATGCCGCCTTTCGCAAGTTTCGATAATATCCGTTGCTGTAGAGAGCAGCCGATGTTTTGATAATATCGACAGCTGTCAACTTTTTAGCACGAAGAGCTGTCAGCATGAAGAGCTGGCAGCCAGCTTATCGACGGCTATCCGGTGGCACATGAGCAGGGCGCACGACTGGGTTTGAACACAATCAGATAGCTCAGTTGAAGATACTCCCTCGTTTGACCCTGCTCATACGGTCTCCATCTTTCCTTCCCTTGTCTCTTCTCCTTATCCCTGTGACCACGACCTTTGTGCGGGAGTCTGTGCATCTGTGCAATCGCCTGGATTTAATCTTCGCTTTCCCAATCGCTTATAGCCCCCAGCACTTAAAAAGTCAATCGGACTCGAAAGCTCCGCTGCAAGCACCGACTTCTTTGTCTTGTATGCAGTTGTCCCTTCTACATTCGAGCCGAAGAACGCCGTTTATGGACGGTGAAAAGCATAATGTGGAGCTTCTACACTTTGGATGAGTCCTACAATCTTAGCTCTTTTGAAGGGTACGCTCGACTCTTTAAGGCATCAGACTGGCGCTCGTCATATTGACCGCCAATTGAGAGGAATGACCTCTTATTGATACAAATCTACAATCTTAATGTGCCAACATCTATAGAGCTTTCAACATACGTGTACTGATACCTACACGCAACGAGTAGCTTGTCGGGTAAGCATCGACAGTATTGGAGATATCAAACGGTCCCACTCATGTCTTGCTCGAGACATATGCGGCCTGGTTCTTCCATGTTGTCATGGTCACGATGCACCGTAGCATAGCATTTCAAGCCGGTACTATGAGATGTTGAAGGACTGGAAGCCCGAGCGCAAGCGCGATATCCTGCATGGTTACACAAGTCGACTCGAAGCCCATCGGTTTTCGCACAAGCGTGTTAGTATTCTCAGGCGCTATGTTGTGCTGCGCTGCAGTCTACCATGCTTCGTTTATAATCAAATTTGTGAGGTCCTCCGATCGAGCAGTTTTGAACGATGATGCACCATCGATGCATCGGCGAATCATGGCGAATATGAAACCCAAAACCGGCTTCGCTGCATATATGCGGGGCCAATCATCATGTTACTGGCGCTTACCGTAGACCGCCCAAAACCGGATCACGTATAAAAGTTACTGGATCACCCTTGCCCAAAAACGGACCGCGCCTGCCAAAACGGTTTTGGGGTTTGCGGTTGGGGCTTGAAAACAAGGCCTCACATATAGCCAGATCTGCCGAAGTGGCTCCTAGTGACAGCTCTGAGGCCCTGTACATGGCAAATGCTCATCCCTTGATGAGCGTCAGGACAGATGTAGGACCATTCTCCCGCCGTTCTAGGTGCCAGCACATCCTCCTCTTCACGCCTGAATCATTTGCAGGGCTTTAAAGGCGATTTTTTGGTCCAAAAACACGATTAACAAAAGCACCGAGCGACCTTATGCTACTCCCTTCTATCTACCGGGTAAAGATAAACTAGCAGCTTTAACCTTGTTACATGACCGAACAGTAACCGGGGTCAGCAAACAGCACTGAAGCACGAAGACCGAAGCTCAGTAGCAGCTTGGAATCTTTACCGGTAACCGTGATCCAGCTGACCCTCCGAAACCACTTGGTTGTCAAACGGTTGCCTAACCCTTCCCCAAAATTTTATAGACCGTACCGAGGAGAGCATAGTACTCGGGGGGTCATATTGGCCAAAGATGCTGACGCACCTTGCGCGTAAAAGTAGCATGTAAACACTTTTACAAGTCAATGGCCTAAGTTCTATATCTAAGAAGTTTAGTTTCTCTAAGCGAACATCCTCCAAGGAAGCCGCGATTTTGAGCATTTCTACGATTCCAGCATGACAAACCGGGCACTAGCTAGCTAGTGCCTTGGTTGCCGGGCATGCATGTTCGTGCTCTGACCGGGGTCCGGGAGTCTGCGGGCAGAAATGTGGACCCAGTAGTGACGGGTTTGGGTTAATGTGACGCTCTCAGTTATGCGTTGAGTGCGTTGGTTTACGTTCAACCGTTAAACAGAACCCCACAGGTAGTCATTTGGGTTCAGCTTTGACCAAGATATGATGCGGTACAGACCGCTGGTACGGTGGTTGAAGCCTGTCCAGCCCCGGTCTCGTCGTCGGACCCCTTGGACCGGTAGCCGGTTTATTTTCCGTTGGGGCATGGTGTACCGTCCGATATTGAATGATCGAACATCCGACGGCTGGAATCTGCGTTGGACTGCCACGCTGGCACAAGGTCGAATCGCGGCTTCCTTGGAGGATGTCGGCTTGTCTAGAGAAACTGAACCTCTTCTACCTAGATGCCTTTCTGCCTGTCTGCCTTCCCCAGCACAAGGTCGCTGGGACTTTTGCCTGACGCTCTTCGTCCAGCTGAAAATGTGGCATGCCAAAAAGTTAGGTTTGAACATAGGACGAAGAGAAAGGAGCAGGAAGAAGCTGCCTAGAGTTTGTTCAGCGCTCTGTTGAAATCTGCAGGCGGGTCAGCTTTTAAGCGGGGTTCAGGTGCAAGTTCTCCGGCGAGGACTTGGTCGTCTAAACCACCAATATGTTTTGAAGGCCTTAGCATCTGGCTCAGGAGACTTGGGTTCGATCTGGCTTGACAAGCTCCCCTTACTGTCGTCATTGGCGTTTGGGAATGAGCGGGAATGAGCTGCTTGAAGGCTGCAGCATCTTACAACCAGCGAAATTGGCAGCTGGAAGATTGGCACACTCCATTGCTGAGAGGACGCGGAAGACGGCAAGGGGACGCTAGAAGTAACAGATTACGCTCGAGCGGGTAAGTCTTTTAATCAAAGTTTCTGCTTCATGGCGTGAGAATAGAAAAAGGCATTGAGGATCGTGTTTTCGGGGCGCACATATATTAGAGTCTTAACTAATTTTGATTTAGCGGTGAGCAATGGAGCATCTGAGAATCATGTGAGCTTGTGCTTTGGTCCAGTCTGAGCTTCAGCATAAACAATCAAAATACAACACCGTCATCACTATTTTGTGCATATCAGCTGATAGGCGCTCTTTCTTTGATTATGTATCCTTCACTCAACGTTCTGTCATTTTCTGATATTCCAAGAAACCTGCATAAAGTAGCTCTGTATCAGAGGGTGTCAAGTGGTGGTCTTCATCTGCAAAGCTTTGCAAATCCCATGTGAAGTACAGATTGCATGATCTTGCTGTTGCAAGGATGTTAGTCAAATCAGGAATTCTCAAGCAAGCTTCCATTTCCAGTCTGGCAGCTTACGAAGCTCTGACGCTGCCCAAATTAGGAGTTTAGACAGCGTCATAAGTGTCTGCTGTACATGAATTGGCGAACAGTTATTCATGTTGGTATCTGTTGTTACTGCTTCTAACTGCATTGCTGGCAACTGAGGCTGGTCAGGCCACGGATACTATCTATCTTACAGCAATTACTCCACAGGAAGAAGCCGATCCATGGTTGCCGTGTCTGCAAATGATCCCGTGCCTCGATGGACACAAGCTGGTCAGAAGACATTATGCAAGGGATTGAAAGCTTTGCGATTTTTGGTAGCCATGCGATTCTGCAGTGGTGCTCCTTCAGTCTCTTTGAGGGGATGAGCATGTAGTATTTGGCTGAACTATTGCGGGCCACCTTACATCTGCAACGTGCTTATTCAGGTGCTGCAGGAGTGGGTCTTACTCCAAGTTACGATTGACTACAGCGGCCAGGGAGAAGTCCTCGAAGGGCTACAAAACCGTCGACGTTCTTCCTGGTAAGAATGTCATGCCGCTCATGCTCCAGCTCAGATTCAGGTGGGGAGTCATTTCCTTTTCTTTCTCTTGTTTCGGCCTCAGACTGTCGTCTTCCAATAGTGCATTACCACCTTCCCATTCCTGTCGCAATGAGAGCTGTAGCGTCCTAGAACTCTGTTGTGTCCTCTACCCAGATGCACAATATGCAGCCTCTCCAGTTCCCAAATGGAGCAGCGTTTAAGAGCGAAGCCCTGTGTTTGAATCTGAGGATGCCCCTGCATCTGACTGCAGCTGGTAAATCGGCAAGAGCATCAAGAAATTGTCGTTAGTTTAACTAACTGCTTTGTTGGAACAAAATCTGCAAGGAGTGCCATGCAGCTTCATGGCCGCCCTCATTATTATCCTGATGATTCCCGTAAGCAAGCTTGGATGAGCAACCAAGGTTTGAGAGCTAGTCAAGTATCCTGTCATGTGGTGCAGATTGGCTGTAGGCACGGGGAAACTCGATGGCTGTGGTTCCAACCGGGGCGCTCCCGGCAGTCGCTCCCCCGCCAGTGCCAATCGCGGGGTTGGAGACGTTCGACGACGTCGGTCGCCTGAGCACGCATGTGCACAAGCTCAATAGGCGGCGCGGTAAGTCTAAGAAAGCCCAGAATCAGTCTGAAGAAAGCGGAAGCTGGTTCCACGTAATCTGATCAAGGACAATGTTGGTTCAGAGCCCTTGCTCAGGTTTGATTTCGGGTTCCAACTTGTTGACGCGTCAATTCTTGCTTGCAGACGCTCGGCCCGCCTCAGTTACAGTGAACCGGCTTGGAAGAGCAGAGGTGGCTGCCACTCGGGCTGCGACAAACCTAGCTGGTGAGCACTGGCTCTCCTGTAGAATGATGTGTTGTGAAACCTGTGTTCCAGTCTGGCAGATTGTCACATAAGGTCCTGGTTACGGTCTCAATTGTAATTGGAAAGGTCTGTTTATGATGGAGCTGGTTCCGCAGAGGATGTGCAATCTAAAGAATATAGAGGGTCTTGAAATCCATGTTGACTGTCTCTCAGGCCCCGCCGTGTGGTTGGCCCCCGCCATCGGAGCCGCAGGCGCTGCCATGCCGGGCGCGATTGCCGCTGGCCTCGCCGCCACGCTGCCCGCTGCCCTTGCCGCGGCTCTTCCCCCCGCCATCACTGCAGCAGCCCCCGGAGTCATGGGGCCGGTGGTTATTGCAGCGGTCGCCGCAGCGATGCCCCCCGCAGTAGGAGCAGCTATTCCCCCTGCGGTGGCGGCAGCGATGCCTCCGGCGGTGGCGGCAGCGGTGGGCCCCGCAGTGGCGGCAGCGGTGGGCCCCGCGGTGGCGGCAGCGGTGGGCCCGGCTGTGGCGGCGGCAGTTCTGAATCTCGAGAACCTGATCCGCTCGAGAGCCAATCGGGCTGCCTTCAATGGGCCCCCGAACAGCCCCTTGGATCCCCTCCACCGCTTCAACGGTGCCCCCAGCCTTCCCCCCCCCGGGCAATTCCCCGCCACCATCGATACCTTCGCCCAATGGGCAGCGACTGGACCCGCACGTGCCAACAATAATGCTTCCATTGATAGTAACCTCAATTTCTATGCCATCGTGGACCCGCTGACCGGAATCACCTTTCCAGGAATGAGCGCACTTGCAGCAGGGGCAGTCGGAGACAACGAGCTCGCTAGGAAGCACGATCTCCTGCGCAGGCACATAATAGGACTTTGAAGTTGTTGAGGGACTCGCGAATCATTAGCGCCTCGATCGTAATCATGATGACATAATGAACGGAGATCAACCGGAACGCAAACTCAAATGTAGGACATTAAAAGATGGTCAGAATTGCCTTTGTCAAAAGTGGTCAAGGTAACTTTACAATCTATACAATACTTTGATCCGGTGCTTTCAACAATCTGGTGGCACTGGGGTGTGGATATTCAGTATGCTATCGATCTAGACCTTGCTTGGTGTCGGATTATAAGAACATTGGAGCTTACACACAAGAGACGATTAATTATGTTTCTACGCTTTGGTTTTCCGGGCGTCGACTTGCTTTTTCAAAGCTCGCTCACACCTGATTGTGTTTCACAATACGACCTGCAAAATCTTGCTACGCAGCCCATGCACTCAGGTTGCTGCATATGTTACCGTTTAGAACCACAACAAAACCATGTAGGAGCCACTGACTCCAAGTCATTGCTTGCCCGTGGCTGTTGTTCCCATATCTGTCTAATCTAGGCCGTTCAGCTTTGTTTAGTGGCGATAAGCTAGCTAGCCTAGCTAGATACATTACCACCGATCACGTTATCATGTCGGCATCAGCCATGCTGGTCATTGGTGTTCGCACGGAGCACGCCCACGGGCCATTGCAAAAGCTAGCTGACGGCGGTCCCACTGCCCCCTAATGACGTGGCTGGGCTCATGCACATGCACTGGCAAGGACACGTGTCCTGAATCGTACATTTACAACGATCGTTTATTTTACATCAATATTGACTAAAATTGTTGCTGCTATGCTTGTATATGGTCGAGCGGAACCATGCTCCTAAACTCAGTCAATCTAGCTTTTCGTTTTGCCAAGCTAGGCTCTAAGTTGTGCACGCGTCATTAGCGGTAGATACTAGAGCCGCTGCATGAGCTGCCCAATTGCATTCTATTTTCAGCAAACGGTACCTCGGCGGTACTACTAAAGTAGTACCGTGGGAGTGGGCGGACAGCCGCGGTACGGTACCACTCAAATTTTAGTCGTCGGTTTGCGATAGAACCGACTGGTTTACTGCGGCAGGCTACCGACCATACTCACACGGAGTCTAGACCGAAGCCTGCCCGGTAGTACTATAAGTACAGTCGCAAGTCCAAATTTGAGTCCAACCGTGACTCGGAGTCGCGATCGACGGCGCGCCGCGGCACCATTCTGAGTACAGCCTACAGTAGGTACTAGGAAGGCTACCTAGGTACCGACCTAGGTTAGGTGTTATCTGCGGCGCCTTGGTATCAAGATCTGACTGCGGTCCGACCCGTTAGATTAGATTCGCACGGACTCCGCGCCGCCGATATCCGTCGAGTATTTGCCACCGTGTCAATTTTTCAGGGCATCAGGAATCAGGATCCGAGAGCGTCCAAGTTGAAAGGCCCTCAGTGCACTCGGCTCAGATTTCTTATGATGCTCTGATATCCGATTGAGCCACATGATGGTCTCTTATCATTCTCGCCGTAGCCAAACAGGCCATAGGTTTCTCATGGCATACATGATCGATTCTGTTCAGCTACATCGACTTGCTTGCACCTTCACATGTCACGCTTAATTATGCGAAGGGACTCAGAGTCTTAGTAGACTTCACGTTTGACTAAGAGCATATCAATCCTGGAAACGCCGTACGGCATGATCATTCCTCCGTGATTGTATAGTTTCATAGAACACTCTAAGTCCGTCTACAATGGGTTCACCATTTTCATGGTGGCAGAATATAATCTTCAAGGAGATGGAACCTTGCGTTCCTATATTTCTTGCATGGTGCCATCGAGGGTGTAGCTACAATGTGCATCCTGGATTATTCGTTGCTGAGTGTGGCCCTGTTTGTGGCATGGTTGTTTTCACTTTTACGCATATGCTCGTGCATGCAAGTGAATGCTTCTGTCGGCACATTATATGACGAGATCATGAATCAAGTCATCATGAATCCAATCCAAAGTGTACATGCACGAGTACTTGAGGTCGCCATTGGAACCGAGCTAAAGTCGGGCGGCGGCTCACGCACGTACCTACATATCCATTTTAGTTAGTCTTCAAGCAGTAACCTGTATAGGCTATGTACGTTTCTAGCTTGATACCACTTGATCATTGGCAGCGAATTACATGATGTCGGAATATATGAAAGCAAGGAGACAAGAAGATGGCCTATAAGCGCATGCATATGCTGCATGCTACGGCCGTTCTTTGCAAAGCCGAGCGTCTACATGTAGCCGAGCGTCTACATGCATGTTATCGTATGATGCATTCCCCATTGTCCCGCAACATGCTGAGGCAATCGCATGCAATTGCGACCTTGCAGGCTTCAATTTGCTCAACCAGAGCTGAGCCTGGAGCAGATCGTTAGACTGGTCTGACCGTCCAGTACACCTTGCTCCTAGGATCAAAACCTTGCATGAAGGCATGGGCGATGCTTCTCTCGATCATACGAATTCGGCTCAAGCTCACCAACTTCAGCGCACGATCAAGAAGATTGCAAGGGCACTGTGCCATGAATGACTAAATCGTCGAAATTAATATTCAGCGGATCTCAACTCACTTCAATTGGTTCCGCAATAAGGTCCCAGTCCTCAGCCCCCACGACCCTACACTGCAGCACGCTCCCAGGCGTAAACGGTATCAAACACCCTTCTATTCTGACTCGATTATCGATCTCGGGGGCATCATATTGGCTTCGTCCGACCGCTACGTGTCCGTCCATGACGTCAATCATGACGTCGAGCGTCCGCCCAATCTGCTGCCCCGCCCAGTCCATCTGCCGGTCCCGCATCATATCCTGCAACTCGCACTGCCGCCGATCCTTCGTCCGTCGCCCGACCTGCTTTTCCAGATCCGCCGCGGGCGTCCCGTCTTCCCGCGAATACGCAAACACGCCCCCACGCTCAAACCCGAACTCCTTAACCGCGCCCATAAGCTCCTCGTGATCCCCCTCCGTCTCGCCCGGGAACCCGGAAATAAACGTGGTTCGCAACACTAACCCGGGTATCCGTTCCTTCAACTTTCGCAGCAATCCCTCGGCGTGCGTTTTACTCGGCCGCTGCATCCGTTGCAGCACCGCCGCGCTTATGTGTTGCAGCGGAATGTCGATATACTTACAGACTTTGTCGATTGAGGCGATGGCGGTGATCAGTTCCTCGGTGAAATAACTCGGGTAGCAGTACAGCAGTCGGATCCACTTAACCCGGGGGTTTTCTGCGATGGCGTGAAGCAGGTCTTGCAGCCGCCGGGGGTCCGATTCGCCGAAGTCGCTGCCCCACTGGTTCGTGTCTTCGGCGATCAAACAGATCTCGCGCGCCCCTGCACAGAAAGGAACACGCAGATCAGTAATTATTCTCATAAAATCTCCGTGCAAAGGGTTCTGCCTAACGGTCTGCAATCTCGCTCCCTGAGCAACTTCTACGTGAACTTGACATGCCAGGCGAACTGATGGTGTCGTCTACGGTAAGCGAAGTCGCGCAGGCGCGTGCAACTATTCCGGCTTGTCAAGGATCGTACGGGCCAGCAAAAAAGCCTGCGGTGTGGTTAATTGGAGCCCAGACTGGCGCACACCCAGATTTTGACAGCAATTATATATAAAGCCGCTGTCACAAAGATTCGTGTTCTGGGCGACTGATCTTATGTGGCCAGGGGCTGGGAAACAGCGGTCGCACGTCGTGTGATAGTTCTCAAGCACCGGCGTGTCGGTAACAACCCAAAATGAAAGCTTAGTCTCCCTGTCAGGCTAGAAAGGAGGCTCATGAACGGTCGGCGAAACACCGGCGGCTCTCCATTACGCCGTCAGCTCTGTGTCGAACTTGACTTCGCAATAAGGGGAGAGTTCCTGAAAAGTTGGGGTCAACCTGATTTTCTGCCCCTAAAAAAACCGTGAGGGAAACCGTTCGCAAACCTTGGCCTTTTGTCACTTCCTGACTGCGTCAATTCAAGCCGACTCAGAACGTTGAGATCTCCAAACCGGGACGTCCAGAGCTCCACCTGACACCGCCAGCGATCTCGTCTCCGTCACCCTCTCTCCTCTCGCTTGCTCGGGAACCTTCCCCAGATCTTTGCACACGTTTCAAAACATAGGGTCACCGATAAAAACGATCTCCGGAACCCCACCTGAGGCCGGCAGCAAGATTGCCTCCGCGACCACCGCCTCGAACCGCTTGCTCCAGATTTCTGTCGAACATATCTTTGCACACTAATACAAAGGTACACCGGAAAACTAAAAATATCCCGCTTAACAGGTATTCCAAAGTGCCCAAATTCCCACCTGACGCCGCCAGCAGATTCGCCTCTGCGACCACCGCCTCAAACCGCTTGCTCCGGAACTTCCCCCGGAACCCCGGAATGCTGCAAAACGTGCACGTGTGGTCGCAACCCTCCGCGACTCTCAGGTACGCCGTGTGCTGCGCCGTGATTCGCCGGCGCTCGGACTCGACACGGAACGGCACGTGCGGCGTGCCGACGAGGACGTTTTGTTCGAGAGAGGAAGTGCTGGTGCTGGCGGTTCCGGTGGCGAGAATGCGCTCGACTTGGGCGCCGAGCTGGGAGTAGGACTCGAAGCCGACGACGGCGTCGACGAACGGAAGCTCGCTGCAGAAAACGGTTCCACACTTCAGGAACCTGGCTTTATGAAAAGTGGCAACTCTGTTGTCTCCTAAAAGCTTGTCTCCTAAGATTCAAAAGTCCCGGGCAATTCAAATAGAAGCCCTAGCCCGATGTTTATGCACTGCGCACCCCTACCCACCCTAAGCACCAAACCATCCCTACCCATCAGGGCTCTGAAGCATCAGGGCTCTGAAGCTTCGGAGACAAGCACCTTGGGACACACGGGAGTTGCCCTATGACTTTTTGAAGTTTTGTAGGTTGAAGGATGAAGGAAACAAAGGACGGAGTCGGCGTCCTCGGAGATGATCTTGCTGTGAGAAAGTAACTTTAAAAGTTGAGGACTTCGATTGATCAGTTACAAAGTTCTAGACTTTTGCTATTCATGGATGACAAGACATAACATTCGAAGTTCGTTGCCGGCAAGTGTTCTGAATTCTTGGAGCTATAAATGTTGACAATTGAATGTCATTGAATTGAGGGTAAGCAGAACTTTTAGTGCACAGAGAACTAGGCGGCACCCTGGGAACAGGGCTTGCTGAGGGGGAAAGTCATAGTCTGCACTAGATGAACCAGTGTGCAAGGCACTTTGAATCAGCAGATCGAAAAGTTTGCCTCCTTTCAGTGGCGGTCGATGCTTGAGCTCTGGGCCGTGCATTTTTAAAGTCATGGTCGGAGATAGTTCCAGCTCAACGAAAAACATATAGCTAGCAATCAGCAGGATATCTTCCGGGGTCAGATGCGGAAGAGGGAGGCTCCTCCGTGAAATGCCCTCAACCTTACACAGTCTATGTAAGTGCGCAAGAACTACTTCCAGTCGATGTCCTCTGCTATCTTTGTAATGCAGGCCTTCCGAAGGGCATGATTCTGAGTCTTTGCACCAGCAAAACGAACAAGATTGTGACCAAGGTGACCAGTAAAAGGGTGTGCAATAAAAGAGCGACCAACGGTGTGCATAAGGTATGCACCTGGCAAGCTCCTTAGAGTACCGCTGTGCCAGGCAGCCAGTCACCAGCACGCCCTTGGCAGACTTGCCCTTCAGTTCCCCAGCCTGCAGACATGACGAAGCTTCTTCTGATGGTGCAAGTGACATCAGCAGCGATGATCATGATGTTGTGTAAGTTTGCTGGAAGAAAACACAGCAAGAGGCATTGGCAGCTTTTGATGTGACATTAAGAAAAGAGTGCAAGGACCCCGGGCGCCAGCGAGATGATCACTGAGTTTCCTGGCTGAGAGGAACGACTGCCAACAATGATCCGTTGAAGGATGTCGATCGAAGGTCAGAGCGGAGGCTGGAGGCTCACCTCCGTGATTGCATCAATGGACTCCCGCTTGGCGTCCTCGATGAAAGCGCACGTGTTGACAATTACCTATGACCCGCAAACAATAAACTGTCAGATATCTTACACTCAAAGAGGCTGACCTTGGCGAACAATGCGGGTGATGTGCTTCAAGAAAAACTGACGCAAACAAGCGGACTGCGTCAAAGCACAGCTGATCCCCCCTTCGAGAGAGCCTCCATTCACACCACCCAACCATCGTCTCCGCAAGGCCAGCACTTCATCTTTTTTGGCTGTCTGCATTGCCCGCCAGACTCACCACATCAGCGGTGTCAGGATCGTCAGTGATCTGGTACCCTTGCCTCTGCAGGTCCCCGAGCATCACCTCTGCGTCCACAGTGTTTTTTGGACAGCCTGCAAAGGAGCAGCTTTCGGTTAGCGACTAACCCTTCTAACGCCTCAGTGGAAGTCCGGGGCTTAGGCTATACCCTGGACTTCCACTCCCATTGCACCAAACCCTCCTAAACTGTAAAAGAGCTGGAGCTTAACCCTCACCCTGAGCGGCCAACCCAAACCCTAAATATCTAAGTGGTCAAATACAAGGATTGCCAGCCATGCTTGATCCTTTCAAACTGCACGAAGGTAAGTGCTTGATCCCTACAGCATTTTGCCGCTGAACATGGCTCAGAGTATTCCCCATCAGAGCTCTCCACACCATTACCAAAAAGGGGTGTTCAGAGCCAACGTGACAATTCTTACCAAGGGCCACCAATGCCACCGAACCAGTCTTCTTGACAACTGGCGTCTCTGCAAGGGTAGGCGCCGCTGCCTCCGTTGCTTCTGCCAATGCTGCCCTGACAGTCTTCAGAGAGCGCTGCAATTGCAGTTGCAAGCCATTCCGCCTGCCAATTGGCTGAAGCGAGCCTCCAAAGAACCCCGACCTTCTGCCCAGCGCGTCGTGCAGACTTTCTACTTGATGTCTGCATATCAGACTTCTGGCCCCGGTTTCAGCCTGAGGTTTGCAATGCACCTCAGACTTGGAATGAGCGGCAGCCGACAGAATTTTGCACCGATCAACAGCCTGCGCTAGCGTACCCATGGCCACACAACTCTAGTGAGAGAAATCTGAGAAGCTCAGCTGCAAGGGAGAGCCGCCCACATTCCTGTTCAAGGTCTTGGAGTGCTTAGACTCTGCAAAGTGAGAACGATTAAATCTGCCCAGCTTCTTGAGTTGGCAATGGAATCGCGGTCACTCCAATGATGGGACACTCCGCGTCGGACGGTCCGAGGGCCTTAAAGGCCGGCTGCTCAGCGACTGATGTTCGTTGGCGCGCGGGCAAATAGTCGCTGTTTTTGCGGTCCCCGGGCTGAAGTCTTGGGGGATCCCACAAAGTGCGGACTGTCCGCAGATTGATATTGGGGGCCAGCCAGCTGGTGCCTGGCATCTTGAGGCGTTTCTTGTCATCTTCGCTCCACTTCTCACTCACTGCTCAAGTCACTTGTCTAGTGCGGCAGGTTGGGGAAGGAGGAGAGATCTGACGAGGTCACGTTGTGAAGTAGCGCAGTGGCTTGTTGATCTCCTTCACCCGACGTACAGCATTATTCCAACATGGCGGAGGAAATTGTCATTGAAGTTTACCTTGTTCGCCACGGAGAAAGCACAGCGAATGTGCACCCGTCCATCGGTGAGAAAGTTGCTCTTTCTCTCTTCTTTTAAAAGCATTGAGTCCTCTTCTTTGATGTCTTCGGCAAAATGGTTCAACTCATGAGGATGCCGTTGCATTTTGGGGGCAAAGGAACTCTGCGCCAACCCCTTGGATTCCTCTTTCAAGCAGACAGGAACAAAAGCTTTGAACTTCATTGCTTGACCTCATTTGTGCTCAACCTGCTCTATCTATCTCAGAACCAGATTTACATCTGTGATGCTGCAACCTATTTGACTAAGCCCTGAGGTCCCTCTATAAGACCCCTACTGATCTCTGCAACCCTCGCTCTTCTCACAATGTCATTTCTTGATTAGCCTTTCTGTTTAGCCCCTTAAGACTCTGCTTGGAGGGATCATGGAAGCTAGACCAAGCACATTTTGGGTCAGGAGTGCATCAGTAGCTCACCTAATCAAGTGCTGACACTCACTGACCATCTACTTTCTTCACAGTCCCACCTTCTTGGATATCTTAGAAGGTTCGTATCCAATATGCGTTCATTTGCAGAATGTTCAGCTTTACAATCCTCTCAGAAGCAACTCCTGTCTGCTGCAGTTGGCGGTCGCTCCCAGCACGCCACACTAACCACCAAAGGGGCGAAGCAGGCGAAGGCCCTGGGGGCCTACCTCCGAGATTATCTGCAGCTGACCTTTGATGCCGTGTATGCAAGCTCGCTTGTCAGGGCGTATGACACAGCTGCCATCACATGCCTGGTGAGGATGGTTCCTACTCACCCTTAGTGTCAACCACCTGTAATTATCCATCTACCCCCCCTTTTCCCTGTTGCTTCTGGTTGCCGCAGCCACTTGTGATTCCTTTGGCCGACATTTAGGAGGGGTGGCACTAACCTCTGCCTCGTACAACTAGCAAACGATGGAAAAATGTGGTGAGAAGGTATCAAGCGATAGCAGAAACAACACAGTCTTCCATCACTTCTTGTAACTAGAGGCTCATGGGTGACATTTCCTTTGCCTCATGATTATGGTTTTTGGCCACTTTTAGGTCCGATCTCCATGTTCCCCATTCAGTCTTTGCAGCTCCTTCTCAACTGGCAACGTCAGCAGTACGACCTAGTATCATATGCAGTTCTTTTTAGGAACCCTCGCAACCTGAAAACCTGAACCAAGCCTCACATTTAGCAAAACGGGACTCTAAGCGCAAGGTGAACAGATCAACAGACACACTCCTCTGAACCACCTTTGGTCTCCTGCAAGAAACCTCTGGAAAGCTTCTCCCAACTTCCCGTTTTTCTCAGGAGCTAGGCATCCCTGAGCGAGAGATCCACGTGGCAGACGACCTGCAGGAGATGAGCCAGGGCGAGTGGGAGGGCCGGCCGCGCGCCGAGGTTTACACGCCCGACGTTCTCGCTAGCATGCCCGCATTGCAACCTAACTTTACTGCGCCTGGGGGGGAGAGCCAACTTCAAGTCGAGACGCGGATGCGTCACTTTGTTGAGGGGATGATCAAAGAGCAGTTACAAATAGCTCGGAGAGACGGTCAGAACGGAGTCGTTCCGCAAACGGGGGGGTTGGGGATGGGGCGAGAACAAGGGGGGGAAGTGGGGAAAAGTGAGCAGGAGCTGAGGGAAGATGAGTTGTCGGCGTCGTTAGCGCTGTTGGATTTGCGGAGGCAGGCAGCAAAGGGAAACGGTGCCCCAGAGGCAGGGGTGTCGCACCATCCTGATTCGGACCTAGGTACCGGGGTCAGTGAGCGGTCTGTACCGGAGGGGGCAGCAGGGCTGCAAACAAGCGCTCTGGAAGCGAACGGGGTTTCGGATACGAGTGCGGGCGCTTTGGAGCGACCGGTGAGGGCGGCGGTGAGGCGGAGGGTCGCCCTGTTTGGTCACGGGATGGCGATCAAGTGCTTTCTGCGGGGCATCCTTCAGTCGGATCCCAAGATGACGCATAAGATTTTTCTAGAGAATAGTTCTGTCACGCTGTTGAAATTTACAACTAACAGGGGCTGGCACGTGACGAAGGTCAACGACACCGCGCATTTAGTGCTCGCCAGGAGAGCTCCGCAGGAGGATCGGAAGGAAGTTGCGAAATTGCCAGGAGGAACATACAGATACAGTACATGATTGCATCGAATACTAACCCTTCATGCAATGAGTTCTTGTGATAGCTTAATGCACATGAGCCTTTACACAGCGCGGTCAATCTGGGTATATGTGCACGTATATAAGAGAACTTTTATGATGGGCATATCATCCAGATGCACTCAGAATTGCACAAATGCGTACCAGATTGAGAAGATCAGTCGGCCTCATGCGACCAGCTCAGTCCACGTACTGCTTTTCCGAAGACCCGACCGCGAATTTGTAGCATGCGACTCCGATCCACAGATTCCTCAAGCGCGGCCGAGCCTCGAAGAGCCCATACACCCAACTCAACTGGCAATTCTGCTCCTTAAAAACGGATCGATCATGTTCTTGACGGGATCTGCAAGTTAGTATGCCTACAGCACAACAAGATGCTACCCTACGATCAGCCTACATGTACGAACACTGCATAATAGTTGGGATCCAGCTCAGTATTCATAGTGCATAACTATTGCCACGTCAGGATGACTGGACAACCACATTTTGACCTTGCACATTTAATCAACAACCTGACGTACATTATTGTGACAATCCATGGACTTGAAGGCACGCATTGCCTCTCGTTTATCAAGCACGCGTGTGCGAGGCACGCGACACGTTGTACTGGGAATACAGCGCATTTCACGTGTACCATTTGCAGCAATTTCAGTTTTCGCATGCTTGACGAAGTCGATACGACGTCGTACTGATGGTAGGTCAACCGTCTACGATTGACTTTTCCTGTCCTCGGAAGGTTCGTCTATACATCGATCTAAAGAAGACGAAGGCTAGCGCGCACCGTGCTACTATACAATCGGTCAAAGCTCAGATCCAATTTTACGCCCAAATTTACTGTCAAAGCAAAAAGCACGAAGAACAAATGAAGGTCTTTGAGGACGGTCCCTACTCATCTCCTGCTGGCCTACTCATTTTCGACATGTCAAAGCCTGTTTTCTCCAGAGTCTCTTCGTCGGCACCGTGTTGCATATCTGTGTTTGCAGCCCTGCAAGTACACACTTGTTACGTCAGCGCTTTGTGGAAGCTGAGTGTGGACCTTCGTCAGACGAATACTGATATACCACGGGAAGCAAGAGACCTTTAGTTCAAAAGACTATCGCAAGCCCCACCTACGAAACTGCAAACGAAGACACATGATACGCTGCACTGCAAAGAACCACCCAGATTGTCCAAAATTTTGGATAGTATTGGCAACAGTGTAAAATACCGAATGCAGGCCGAAAAGATTGTCACATACGGGACTTCAGTCTTTTAGCAATACCTGTTTCCAAAAAGCAGTGTGCTACGTTTCACACAGTCTCTACGGGGAAAACTCATTAACTCAAGTCGCATGGGTATAACCATGTCCCTTCAGCAGAGCACATAATAATGAGAATGCCTTGATTTAAATCCCGGATCATCGGCGAAACCTGTTTCCTGCAGCCCTCTTCAAAAGGTTCCTCGTATCGAGGTTGAGGCTCAAGAGCAGAGGAGCAGGAGTGCGTCAAACTCTCAAACACAGTAAGCTGGCTGCCAGCCGAAGCATACATGCTAAAGGTTCTGATTCAAGTATCTGAACCAGTATGCCAAATCATGCGTCTGCCCAACCATCCAGAGGAAAACCAGCTGCAGACTCTGGGAAACAGCAACAATATTGATAGAAATTAGGACCTTTTAGCACCGTAAAACGGCCAGCAGCAAACAAAGCAGTGTTGTTGCGCTAAATCAGGGAGTACGTATTTCACCTTTCAGTCGCTTCACCCGTGTTCGATGGCTTTCCGTACAAGTCCTTTGTGTCTTTCTTTGCGTAGTGCTCCACAGACGCGTGGTCATCATATCCCCTGCAGATGACATGGTATGACAATATGAGCACAGGGGATGCAAATTATCCATACCTACTGACCCAGAGATGATGACTATTGTCAGCAGGTTGTGGGGTTGCTCGCAAAGCTTTCTATCCTCACAGGTTGTCCACGAAAGATTAATGTTCCTAATCATGCGCCCCTGTGCATCTTCCAAGGTCTTGATGATGTATGTCAGGTCTCAAAAGCTAGACAACATTGTTCCCGGTAGAGTGGAGCTTGTAAGCCTCTCTTGGTATTGCTTGACGTGGACCAATTGGTCTTTGAGATTACAAAAAGGAGCCCCGCCCTTAGCATTGCAGCATTACGAAACACTCGATCGTGCTGATGAAAGGCCGTTGATACTTCCTTCCTTGTTCCTCAAAGCAAACTTTCAGACGTGCTACAAAGACTTCAATGCTTTATGAAGACTCTTACGATCTTCAAAGAAGCGTGGTTCTTCAGCCCAGATTTCACTTGAGGCATGACATTCCGTTCCAGGTACGGCGGTGAAGATCCGCGACAAATCAGCAAGTGAGCAATATTAATTCTAGGCCAGACCAGTTGCTGGCAAGTAACAGCAGATGATGTTGCTTTTCAAGACACCTCAGATCAATTGATTGAGCTTTTACATTCAAGGGGGCCTCCTCTTGACTTCACCAGAAGCTTGAAGGGGTGGTTTGGAGGTTGACTCAGCTCTTATTCGATGCCCAATCCATTTAAGACATTGTTTATGTCAGAATCAAATGCTGCCCTTGGCCCAACACTATAGCCCAAACAATTTTTCAAGATGTGTCCATGATGGCTACCACAATGTGAAGCAGGCCACTGATGAGAGATGCGACTCATCTTCCTCAAGCTAACCTAAAAAGCTAGAAGCATCCTTATCACATGCATGCAGGCTTCCGATGCCGCAGCTAAAGACACTAGTCTGGCATCAGTGCTGAACCCGCTTTAGGCTCTATGGCCGCCTGCGATGCCAAGCTGAGCATCTTTCCAGATCCAGATTAACATAGCTATGGTTTCAATATTTGACGATGCAGAAAAGGCACGTGTACACCAACTTCTTTCTTTACCTGTCGGCTCCCTCAGAGGCAGAGGCTGAGGCCTCAGGCACAGAGGCATCTGCGGGCAGGGGGCCCGACCAGTGCAAAAACCTCTCACTCAGCACCACAGAGTCCGCTTCCTCAGCCACGGTCGTTCTAAGCACAGAAGAGCTCCCAATCGGTCCCACCCGAGCTGTTTGAACCACAGTCCTGGTTACGACTGTGGTCATCCCCTTGAGAGCAGCCATGGCCGCCATGCAGTCCCCCCCTCAAAAGGATTACAGACAATGAATTGCTCCGCGCGCGTGGATGTTTTGCCTGATGAAAACCTGCCCACTAGTTCTTCTCAAATAGCTTGGCGCCTTCTTGGAGCTTCCTTTGATTGTTGGCGATGGCTGCTCAGCGCTTTGAACGATAATGGAGTCAGGAAAGGGGGGAACAAGGCTTTGCAGGAACTTGGAAGCCCTTATTAGTCCTAGCTCATCAAAGAAGAAGGCCGTCAGCAGGCCGACAAGTGGCAGCAAGTATCTTCCGACTTCCACGTGGCGCTTCCTGAAGTGCAGAGGAAAATCCTAACCCTAGGTTCTTCGCGGGGTCAACCACTGACCCGCCTCCAAACCTCAACCGGGGCCCGGACGCTGAACATGGGCGGCTGCCACCAGCAATACAATTTAGCTTCAAGCTGCATTGGATTCAGTGGATTTGGAAGAGGAGCCGAAGCACAGCTGATTCACTTTTGAGGGGAGTGCGAGGGAAGCCCAATGTACGCCCTTTCTGTGCGTTCGCCTGGTGCTTTGGCAAGAAAGGTCTCTGTCCTTAGTACGCCCCAAACCACTTTTCGAACGTCGAGTTGGAGCAGAAAGCAGCTTGGCCGTTCACCTTCAATCAAACCTGTAGTAGGGACGGAGACGTTCCGTGCTTCGCACAATCAGATCTCAGCTCCAATTAGCTGTTTGCATAGGATCCTGCGAGGTGGTGGTGACGACAATCTGTATCAGCATTGCGCAGCCCTTGGTCCACCACTAAATAGGGCCCCAATAAGCTACTCAAACTTGAAAACAGAGAAGGAAAGGCGGGTGTTCTTGGGCGCACGGATGACTTCGGCCGCTGCATCAGTTGCCACTGAGGACTTTGTCCAGGGCGAAGTGCTTGATGGAGGCCTTGCCGTGATCACCTTGGCGCGGCCGAAGGCGCTGAATGCAATGAACCTAGGTGAGAATGTAGGCAACTAAAGGTGTGTTTGCAACTTCAACTGCTCCAGGGCCCCCCAAGTTTGTTTATTTCAAACTTATCGTGGATAGCCTTGTAAAGCGCCTTATGCCACCACAGGGACTCCCGCTTTTCAAGATTGTCTTTGAAGTGGTGTAAAAGCATGGTGGATAGTTTCACATTCATCTGCGGTCAGAACAAGCATAAATTGTAGTTCTTTCAACGAACAGCAACATTTTCTTGACAACATAACATTAAACAACATCATATAACTTCAAATCCTGGTCCTTCTTTGTCAGATATGGACCGCACATACACACACCTCCTGGACTCTTGGCAGAAGGACAGCTCAATCAAGGCAGTTCTCATTCAAGGAAGCACCCCGCGAGCCTTTTGCTCAGGTACTAGCCCCTCTTTCACATTCTATCAGCTTGCCTACCACTGAACGCATTGAATGATGCCAGCAGTCAGCTTCCTTGTGGCCTCATTGCCATGAATGTTTGGGAGGTTTGTGACACCCGCCCTACTGAATACTTGTGTTTCTGCTACTTCATTGTAACTCTCATTTTGAGTGGTGGTTCAATTAGCCCTTGAAGTTTACAATCAAGACTTCAGTGAGGAGACGGCCTGTTATTCTCCATAGATGGTGCGCTTCAGCAACTGAACTTTGCGCCCCTTCCTTTGTTAGGCGCCGACGTAAAATGGTTTGCAACGGCAATAAGGGACGACCCTGCAACCAGCGTTGTTGAAGAGGTGAGAGCCCTAGGTTACTTCACTGCTCCTTGCTGCTGACAACCTGCAACCATCAGTTCCCGGTTCCTTCTCTTGCTGATTGATGCTGGCTTGTCTGTCCCTTCTCTGTTTTCATGCATAAAAGGAGGAGAGACATCTCCCTGAGAAATTCGACCTTTCACGAACTATGTGACTTTACATTAGAGATCCAACGCGAGACAGCTGGTTGACTTGCTCTGTTTATAAGCGGCGGTCATTGGTCCAGGAATCCTCTCAGGATGTAAACTGAAGAGAGGACTCAGCTCTCCTTGCGGAAGTGGCGAGTACGGGGATCACGTACTATCACGAGATCTCGTATGCTGGCCAACTTTTCTGCGCGCAGGTCAGGTCTATGTATCCAGGGACGTCTTTAATCACCCAAGATTGGTTTCTATCTTGCTCTATAAACCACTATAACCAGTCTACCAAGAAACCAATGTCTGATATGAGTGTCTTTTGGTCGCAGGTGTTCAATCAGGAATACCCCCTAGTGGTGCGCATTGCCAGGTACCCGAAGCCATACATATCGATCATGGACGGTATTACCATGGGCTTTGGCCTGGGTCTCTCAGGGCATGGCAAATACCGGGTTATTACAGAGGTGCGCCTTTCTCACCCATTGTCCCTATCAATCGCACCTGAGAGCAGTCGCATCAGGTAGAAACGTAACAATACAAGCGTGGCATCTTACAAACTTTTTTGGCTGAGACTTTGTAGGCATGTGCGCAGGGCTCTTCAAAGAGGAAAGGAAGTCTTTTCATGCGCGATGCATCAGAAGAATTGTGATGCTGCCCTAGTATGAATCCTAAGTTCGGGACTTCGGAGATCTCACATAGTTCACTGAAAGCCCCTGATTAAGTTAAGGTCCTCGAGGAAACCATCAGGAGTCAAGAGTCGCCGAACCACAACCCCGACAATCCCTTTTTGCTGTGCGACGCGAATGTCACAATCATCACGCTCATCATCCGTGTCGCAGCGAACGGTTGTTGCAATGCCTGAGAATGGCATCGGCCTTTTTCCCGACGTCGGCTTTGCACACCTGGTGGGCCGCGCCCCACGGGGACTGGGTGAGCCTCTGCCCTTTCATCTCGTCTGTGATGTAAAGTGCCTCAAATCTGCCCCACGTATGTTTGTAAAAATCCTGGCAGATTGGAAATGAGCAAAGGACCCGACAGGCGAGGTCAGGCTTGAAGTTCGTGGGAAGCCAGGTTACAATCCCTGCAAGGTGTTTCAGTATCTCATTAGACCACGGGACAGGTTTGACGAAGACCCTTCTTCAGTTCCTCGAGACCCAGGTTTTCAGTCCCCAGTCATCAAACGTGTTGAAGTATGTGGTCATCTTTTAGCGGCTCGCTTTCAGGCGCGGCTCGACTAGTTCTGGTTCCGAGGATAATGAAAGTAGCGTTCCAAGCGGCATCTCAAAATATTGTCGAGGGTCGACAATCGCCGACTTCGATAGCAGACTGTTGTCTTGGTATCTAGCCGAAGGACAGTAGCCTGTGCATAGAAAGGACTGGCGGCTGGTTGTCACTGCAGTCTACGAAAGCGCGTCTTACTCGCTCGAGCAAGAGTTTCGGCCGAATGTCTCGGTCCGTTCTTCGAAGGTATAAAAAGAGAAAGGATAGCTCACGGGTACATGATCGTGCTGAATCTGAACCTGTCTGAAGGTACCAGTCGGAAGACCAGTTCGAAATAGTCTGCATGTCCCAGATTGAAGGAGTTCCAAAAAGACGTCCTCCATTCCACTTGAGCATAATCAGGTCGAATGATTTGACAGACTCGACACAATGTCTGCGCAGGCGAAGGATGGTGCTGAGTCAGGTCAGATTCCTGACAAGTCGGTCCACTCTTCGCAGGCACCTACATGGCGCTCACGGGAGCGCGGCTCAAAACCCCCGCCGACATCTTCTACGCTGGGCTGGCGTCCCACTTTGTGCCATCCGAGAAGCTGCCGGAGCTCAAAGCAGACCTGCAATCCGCTGTAAGGTGGGACACGTGTCAGCGGCACACTGGGCGCCTATGCGGCGTTGCCCTTTTCACGAGGCTTGATTAGCATCAAGCGCCGAGTTTCTATTGCTTGATACTGATCGAGAGCCTTCGTGGGAACGCTTGACGGATTGAAAGGGGCTTTTTGTTCCACTTCCACAAGCTTTGATTCTGGAAGCCGTTGTAAGTTAAATGAGACAGCTTCCTTCGTGAACGCTACCTTCTACCCGAGTATTCGTGCGGGAAACTTATGCAGAGACTCAAGCGGCGATGCGCGTGCGTCCCTTGAAGCCGTATTGGACCAGTCCGCATCACCCCCTGGAGAAATATTGCACATTCGGTCAAACCTGGCCTCCTGACCCGAGTCCGAATTGAGCCGAACGCAAAACTTTGCCCGACGCGCGAAACATGGACCCTGCGATGACCTGGAGGTCAATCATCGAACGGCCCAAATTCTGCGACCCTCGAAAGTTCTGCGACTGGCTCGATTTAGCATCGGGTCAGGCGGCCAGGTTTGACCGAATGTGCAATAGTACAGTTTCAGAAAGCCTCAGTTTTGGAAGGCGTTGCGGATCTTGAAAGAGCATCCGTCCTTTGTGAAAGGTTCTTCTGAGAAACGTACTGTCAAGTAATATGTAGAGACTCAAGCGGCGCACGCTTCCTTTGAAGCCGAGTTGGACCGCTTCGTATCAATCCTCGGCGAAGTATTCAGAGTCAAAATGGGGCAGCCTTGGATGGCGTTGCAAAAGACTGTTCTCTCTTGATACCTTGTCGCCAATCGTGCAGAGACTCGAGCGGTGATGCGCACGCATCCGTGAAGGCTGTGCTGGACTGCTTCGATCATACTTCTCAGAAGGGAAGTATACTGTGTCAGAAAGTCTCAGCTTTAAATGGCGTTGCAAAAGACCGTCGTCTCTGACACTCTCCTCGCCAACTCATGCAGAGACTCAAGCGGCGACGCGCATGCTGCCGTTGAAGCCGTGTTGGAGAGATTTGCATCGCCCCCCGGAGAAGAGCCCAGCCTAAAACATGCACAGCCTTTCATTGAGCGGGTCTTTGGCGCGGGGCACCCCGTTACTCAGATTCAAGACGAAGTAGAGCGAGCCGAGAGCTCGGGCGACAGCAAAGGTGAGCGGGGACGAGAGAGATCGCCGTTCAGCTCTGTTGGTGTGGGACGTAAACCGTGACAGGGGGGCGTTCAAGGTTTTGAACACCGAATTACGGTATACAGCCTCGATACTTCTAAATAACGAAGCTTCGGTTTCTATTGCGGTCAGAACCCTCTTGCATTGGTTGGCTGTAAGAGCAGGCGCGCAATGGACCAACCGATCCACAACGCGTGCCCGGCACATTCTTGGTTTATGTCACAGTCCGCCTACTGTACAACGTTAACATCGGTCATGCGCGGTCGCCCTTTCAAGGAGAACATTTTTTTGGCTCGATACTTGTTTCGAGGTGCTCCTAAGCCAAAGGTCATCAGTGGATTTGATCAGGCGGACTCGAAGCGAGGTTTTTCCAGACAATCCCACATTCCACGCCGGAACGTGTCGACAACCGGTTACTTGAGCCTTGGTTTGCGCTTACCTCACGGTTTCTTGACCTAACCTCAATTTGGCTGAAAGACCGGAACAGGCCGGAACCGAAAAAGGATCCCGTGACAGATTCACGTATTTCTTCTGCAGAGGCGGAGTGGGCGGCGGAAGCGCTCGCGGGGTTGCGGCGAGGAGGTCCCGTCAGTCTTGCGGTCACGCAAAAGCATTTCGACGCAGTTGCAGCGGACGCGGCGCGCGGAACCGGCGAGCTGAGCACGGTAAGCGCTCGAAAGAGTCCTCGCTGGCAGTGTCCTGGACCAGACTCTTAATCAGAGTAAAGGTCACTCCCCTTGGAAAATGTGAAGAGCGGTTATGGGCGGATGCAAGCGGCAAAGAGTGAAAGGACCTCTTTTAGTCAGCTTAGCTGGGAGCCTACATTGTCCAATATTGAGGAAGAGAGCTTTGCTACCCAATTGGGGGCGGTAGCCCTTCCAGTAAATGTATGGAGTGAGGAATGGAGTGAGGAATGGCAGCACTTCAGAGTCACTCAGGTTCGAGTCGGCCGCTCCGGCTTGCCACGCAAACGTCCGCTCTCGTGCCGTCCACTTTGTCGCGGATCATATTGGGCCACTCGAAGGTCCTTTTAACTTTAGGGCATAATGCTGAGGAGATTGAACTCTGGCTCGATGTGCGATGGAGACCTTGCGGAAGCGACGCCTCGTCCGGACACATCTTGCGCTTGTGAAACGCAGACTCGTCTCTGGTGGCTGCGGGTGTGTTGTCTGCTCGGTTTTTGCCGCATCCCTCAGTATCACTGCCGTTTGCTTCGAAGCTGGCCGCCTCGCTAGAGTTCGTTTTGAACCGCCTGCAGTATCCTGAGATGTCCGATGGTAGGTACCAAACGATCGAAAGCCATAATCAAAGTTAGGCGCGGGACGGGCAATCTGCCACACCTGCAGTGGAAAAATATTAAGAACAGGATTTTAGATCTCAAAAGTCAGGCTCTCTCCTTCTCAGACAAGCCTACGAACGCGAACTGTCAGCCGGCCTTCCTTTCTGGGTTACCTAAAACCACATGTGCCAATGCATCCGCAGATTGAGGGCGTCATGCGCGTGGAGTACCGCCTGGCTTTGCGAACGTCACGGCGGCCCGACTTTGTCGAGGGCGTGCGCGCGGTGCTTATCGACAAGGACCAGGTGCGATGCTTCTCTCTTCTTTCCCACTTGTCATTGTAGCCGTCAAAAACCTCGACTTGCATCTGTGCAGCTTGAGGTGCTTGCCTTTTACGCGTTCGATGACCGTTCCGCAGTGCACTCCCTCCTGAACGGCTCTTCAAAGGCACTTCAAAGGCTGACAAGGAAACCCAGTGAACAGCAGATCTCATACTAGTCTGTGACGCGGAACTCGCCCGATCATACTTTCAAAGTATTTGTGGGCATGGTGGTATTGTCTTTGATCAGCAAAGTAGTGAGTGACTCGTTGACGTACCGTCTTCTTGCAGAAACCTCGGTGGCAGCCCTCGACGCTAGACGCTGTGAAAGCCGAAGACGTTGACAAATGCTTCGCTCCGTTTGATAGCGCGCAAGACGAGCTACATGTCTGATGAAGGCTCGTAGTCTGTGTAAATAGGACGATGCTATCATATTGTGCGAGCGTGCTCGAAGCATAATCATATGCATTTATATGCTGTATAGATGTATTTCAAAGCTTTCCACTCTCACAGAAGTGAGTCTACGTAACACGGAGATTACTGTGATTCCTGAACATCTTGGTTAAAAGCTCTGTCCGGCACAAACTCGGAACAGTGCATCAAAGAAATCAAGCGATCACGCTTATGCAAATTTCTGAATACTTTGGTCTGGCACGAATAGCATAAACGGCTGCATTAGCTATACGGCCTTATATGAAACACGACCCCATGCTCATGCCGGCACGTATAAACAATAAATCTGAATCTAACTATCTATAGCTGCGTTTGAGAGACTGCTCGCTATGCAGGGAAACATATCGTGCGACTGAGACTTATATATCTGCAAGTCACAACGCGTACGTGCATGCATGGCCCCGAGGCTTCATATTTGTACCTATAGCTGGATCGCGGATCTTATCATATAAGGTTCTGCCGCAATGATGATTGGTCAGAAGCGGTCAAAGCCTCATGCACTAAACGACCACTCGGTCTGGCAAAGCGCCGATTGGCGGTTGCTAAATCAAAACATGTGCACCTGTGCACCGTACTCATAAGTACAAACGCATCTGTGTGGATCGCATGAAATGTTATGAAAGTTCAATACAGGAAGCTGGTGAGTAACGCGAAACAAAGTCGAATGGGGACGCGGCCGGTATGATGATCGACTCAACAAAATATTTGTTAGCGCTGTACAAAGTGTGTCGGAGGCGATCACCAAGCTCTGTGGGCGATTGGGAAGCACGCAAGCACACGTGACCCTCAGCTTACGCAGGCTTATAGTCCGCGTTCAAATTCTCCGGTTTGAAAACAATAAGCATCTTTCTACGACTCTGACGGTCGGGGCATCTTGATCTGTTGAATGTATTTGACTGGCCGGGACTCCTCTCTTTCTACAAGGCGACCTATACAACTGTCGCCAAATCGATTCCGAAACCTGGTTCCAGCATGGTTAGTGCGGGCCACTATATACAGCTAATACTGCCACGGGTTAATCTCCATTTCGCTTCCTACTTGATGCATACCGCTCTTTATGGCGTTCTCCATCTGTGCTTGGCTGTCGACCTTGAAGAATGCCCCACACAATTGACCGGAGCTGTTGACGTGGGGGACGGCTTTAACGCTGTGGTTGGGCTTCTCGTAGTTAACAAGACCCCGCTCGAAGTTGGAGAAGTAGAATCCTGGATGAAGGCAGACTGGCTTGTTCGGTATCGACGTAACAATGAAGTGGTGATACAGAAGCTGCTTACGCTGGGTAACTTAGCAGATTGAAGAAGCCTCGTTCTGTTCATCACAACTTCGACATTCAGCGACGTCCGAATATGTCACGACATGAACGGCATGATAAACAAAGCAAGAGTTTGCTGCCTGAGCTACTGACCTTCGGGCTTCAAGCTCTAATCTGACCTCACCGCAATCCAGCAGGCATTATAGAATCTGCAAATCCATGATACTTCTCGAAATTGCTAAAACTCAATCTCCGAAGTCGCATATGTTTCAATCTGAATTACTCTTTTGGTGTATGTCAATCATTTACTGAAAGTTTCCATTGAGGAAAGACTCACCGTTCGGGAAGGGCGCAGCGGACGTTCCGCACCCTTTGATGAGCTCCTTACTGTCCGCAAACACTAAGCTTCCATCCGTGGCAGTGCCCCAATGCATGCCAACGCCGTTGCGAGCGTCCTGCAGAGCAACGGACGATCTCCGTTGTGACGAAATGGCAACGCTAAAATTCAGAGTGACGTTTGGTGTTGCTCATTTTCCGTTTGAAGCAGCCAGGTCTATGTAAGGACTGCTGGACCCGTGACCTCACTCTCCGAATGGCAGAACAACGCTTCTGATTGTAAGGAACAGGATACTCGTTTAATCGGAACATAAAGAACAGCAGTCTGATCTTGCTGTCTGAACACTCCCAACGTGCTCTGAGTCGTGTCTTAAAATCATGTCTTATTGAATGCACTAACGAGGAGTTAACACTGCCTGTGCATTGGAAAGATGAGGCAAACTCTGAATAGATCTTGGCCCCTTTTACATTCCTTTGAATATTGTCAATTGACTATATTGTTTTGACCCGATAAAGTACAGTCATAGATCTGCTACAATGATCTTTGTTCCACAGGAAAGAACAAACATTTAAAAACCGACTTATAGAAATGGTGTATTTGAGGGCTCACCGTTGCTGCAAAAATGGTGCTATTGTTCTGGTCAAACAGGACGAACCCAAAGGCGCCCTCCAGGTGCTTTACTGCCACGTCAGCCGGGTAAGGAGCCCTGTCGCGCAGCGCCTTGTACACCTCGATGATTAGCAGCTCCTCCGTAACGGCCTTGGTAATGCCATACATTTGCCGCAGCTGATTCATGTTGGAAAGGTGGCCCTTGAAGAGGAGGAAGACATTCTCCTGACTCACAAAGGCCCTGCAAGAATACAGTAGAGTAGCATGAACAAGCTTTGCAGAAGAAACGGGAACTCTGATTCTAGACGTGGCTGAAGAGTTGCAGATAGGTGTAATGGTAACAGAACATGGCTTGCAAGGGCCCTGCACATAGTTGAAAGACTTGTATGAACACAGGGAGCCAGCAGGACAAGTTTTATGTAGCCAGACTCGCCAATGATTACAGTAGCCAGAAAGGACAGGGGTTGGTGGACATGGCTGCATTCGTCAGAATCTGCATATCTGACGGTCGTCGCAAAGGCTAGATACATTTCCCAGTCCAGTAGGCAGAGGTGGTTATGCGGCGGCCCCACCTGTTATTGGCAGACTACTACTTCCAATGAGAGTAATAACTCTTGACAGACTCAAAAAAATATCTGCAAGCAGTACCTTAAGCATGCCGTCTGCTCACTTGCGGCAGATATCATTTGACCACCTTGTATTCTCATTCCTCAAGGGTTTTATCTACTACTTCTCAATCATGCATAAACTTTTCCTGATTAAAAGCCCAGAAAGCTTGATAACCACAATCAGACACTGAATAGATTGTGCCCAACCTTTCAATGTGAAAAAAGCTAGTTCAAACAGTTCTCCTAAGCCACTGGGGACACGAAGTCTTCCATTCAAAAGATGGAGAGTATGACCACCGCAATATTGGGAGTTCTGTGCCCCTGCTTGGGGAAACATTGGAGCTGGTCTGAAAGCACAGTCAACCCTTTCGGCTCAAACATCAGTCACTACTAAAGTCTTTCAACACAACACCCTCACTGCCAACTCAAATGGCAAACCTGTACACTAAAGGAGCCTTTGCAGTGCCAGTGTGACTCCATGCGTCAGGCGACTTTGTGAGCCTTCAGGGCATAATTGCAAGCAAGAACCAAACCACGAATCAATGAAAGTTTACTCAAGTGCTTAAGCCTCCACCACTAACCTTGGTCGAAGAAGTTCCTTCTGATAGTCCAAACTGTATGCCAAGCCAGACCCCTGCCCAAAGTGCACTGCAACTTGTCTTTCCTTGAATGCATTCAGCATCTCCATTCCAGACATGCCTGTCAGCTCCTGATTCTTTGCGCTCGTCGTCCCCTGCAGATGGACACGGGCGTCCAGCCCTGCAGGGGCGTGCGCGATGGCTTGCTCAAACACCGCCAACATCTTGCAAGCTGATAAAATAGTTTCGAAGGAAGTGCGAAAAGAAGGAATTGCGCCTCTGAGGTGCTGGAAACTCGTGAGAAGTTGCTTTGAAGAGCGTCTTTCCAAGGAGATTGGATTTTTACAGAAGGAAGTATCTGCCAGCGCCGCAATGGCACCATTTCTTGAAATGCAGTGCTGCACCATTGCTGGTTCTCTTCCCCTCCCTCACGCGTCTAAACCACGCAACGGTTTGAAAACGGGTAAACTTAAGAGCAGTCGGTGGTTATGCAAAAAGTCAGTCGGCGACTCGGCCGGTTCAAATAGGAAATCTGACAGTTCCAGCTTCAAAGCGTGCGGAAAATGTTCCTGAACCGACCGGCTCTGAATTGGCCGGTTCTTCTTAACCAGCTGGGTCAAGCTGGCCTTCCTGGTTCGTGGTTCTGCCCGCGTCAATAATTATAGAACATGAATATCGTGCTGACATGGCACCTGCTGACTTGGCATGCAGCAAACTGAATGCTGCCTTTATCGACCGCGCTGGACGCTTAGAATCTCACATCGAACGGTCTGCTGCCTGCAGTGCTCCTTTTCAGCAAGCTCGCTCGGATAGCTTACCGGTCACATCCGACGGCGGATGGTCGCCTATATACATCCACTTGGCTTGAGGCCAAGTCCCAACTAGAGCTGGGGACATGTGGGACAGCAAACCGCGCGTTTTTGTCCTGGAAGTGCAAAAAGTGGCGGCCGCGCCGCGCCAGCCGCGCCAGCCGCGCCTGCGGGCCAGGCTCCAGGCAGTTCATTTTCAAATTCAATCTGTTCAGTATTTCCTGTTCATGGGCGCTCCAGAATCAATTCGTTCATAAGGCTGAAGTGGACAAAGTAGCACTGACAGTGAAAGTAGATGGCGAGGGTTTTGGGGTGATGGTGCCTGCGAGGGTCGCTTATGGCACCCGAAATTTGTGAGTGCCGTTTGATCTGTGGCCCCATTAGGGCGTAGGCAGTTTACTTTTTGCGACCATGGACGCCAACTATTACATCCAAGAGCCGCCCGTTGCAAGCCCGGGCGAGATCGATGCCCAGCGGGCCGCCCCAGCTGAAGTCACCGCTGATGTCACGAACACTTACCTGACCTCAGACGGGACTGCCGGCAAGCCGTCCGCCCAGTCGCCTGAGCAGTATCTAGCCAACCAGGGTTACGCCAACACTGCGCAGATTGCCGAGCTCCAATACGCGCAGGGGCAGAACGTCGCGGAGCTGTTCCAGGAGGACCCGTATTCGGGGTATGCGATCCCGCCCGCCCCGCCCGTGAGGGCTCAGCCGGTTATCGCCGCGCAGCAGATGCAGGCGACGTTGGGGCATATGCCTCCGGTGAGCACTTATGACTTGGCTCCCCTCTCAGTGCCTTTTGGCATCAGATTGGAAAGTCCTTGATTTATCAGGACTTCCGGTTGCCGGGTGATATCATTGACTGCTTCCGGATGCTGTTCGGCTGGATCATGCAGGAGAGCCCGTCGTGAATGAAACATCTTTGAAGATTTACCATCTTGAAGTCGTTTCTTGCTTGCTTTAACCATCGCCAGGCAGGGTCGTTGTGTTCCGTCGAGCATAGACTGAGGCAACAGGTTACGCCAAGTTTTCAAGAAAGTTGGTCACGACAAAGGGCGCAACGTGGTCTTACCTATCACATTGTTGCAGCCATTGAGGAACTAACTGTGTTCAGAGATTTGGAAACCACTTGCCGCTTAAATTTTGACCATCACAGAACCTTCTCGTGGGTGGATAAGTTCTAACGACTTCAATAGTCCTGAAGGCACCGCCAAAACAACCCAACACCCGTAATACGGTGTTTTTCCTTTTCAATGCAGTGATCTCAAGTCAGTGGAGGGGCAAAACCTGTTGAAGCAGTCACATCGTCAGCCTTCAGCGAAGCCCGTTGTGCTGAGCTGTGTATGACGTTTTTTATCCCCCCTCCATCTCAGGACTTCAAACGAACGGAGGGCGCAAAGATTGACACCGAAGCGCGGGCCAAGACTGCGGAGAAGAAGCTGAAGGAAGTTGATGCGCAGCTGGGCAAGGTGCTGAAAGAGAAAGCGGCGCTCGAGAAGGAATTGGCCAAGGAGAAAAAGGACAGGGCGCACTTCCAGGTGAGGGTTAAAGTCTGTGGCCTTCGATAACTTTCCAGTGCATTCCCTCGTTGTCAGCACAGATTTCCAATCTTCCTTCTTAGGCTAATCTTTCGATTTCGAACGCCTTTCCCAGATCAGTAGCACACGTTCGACTCTGCTAGGTTGACCTGTGTCGTTCTGATGCAGCATCCCTAATTTAAGTTTCCTCAGAGTCCTCTTGAAATGACAGCTCAAGGGCATTAGCTGCCAAGTGAGTAGCCTCATTGTAAAATAAGTTCCATTCACTCAGTAGTGAGGCTGTTTCGAGTTGAAGGGATCATTCTACAGTTAAAAGCAACGAACATACCCCCCCCTTCCCCTGTGCAGAGGGCATGGATCTTTGTCCCCCTTGCATATGTATGTACTAGGGTACTCTGATGCTTTGATTTCACTGTTAGAAAGAGGGTTTGAACTTCTCACCCCTGGCAAGAGCCCTACACGAAGCGCGCCCAACGGCTTCAGAGAATGTGACTTTCTCTCTGTATGCTGATCGAGGATCCTCCTCTCGCCTCGTTACAGGAGCTCGACGCAAAGCGTGCGCAAGAGCGCGAGTCTGTCGCTGCCTGGGAGTCTCATTGGCGGGTCCAAGAAAAGGCGCTCAAAGCTGCCGTGGAAGACAGCCGGCGCAAGAACCAGGCAAGAGGATTGCCACAGCCTGACAATGCTCGAGTCGCAGGAACTATGTCTGAATCGATTGATGAGGATCCAGTCTGCAAGCCTGCGCCGGGAGTCTGCAAAAACTGGGAGGACAGCTATTGAGGGTGAATAAACCCGGGAACAAACCCGGGATGAACGAGAGATTGAGAGCGCCCATTTTCTGGTGTCAGAATCTGGACCGAATCAGCACTTCGAACCTGCATCGTCCCTCAATCGTCCTTCAAACATTTCGTGATTATGTGATCCACCTGCAGGCGATGCAAGCCAAGCTTGGAGCTCTCGAAGCGCGTCTCAAAGCAGCGTTCGACGAGGTCGAGAAGCTGCGGGGGGCGGCGGCGGCCGCCGGCGAGCGGGCGGGGCGGCTGGAGAGAGAACTAGAGGAGGAGAGGCAGGCGTACCGAGAGCTGGAGGAAGACAAGGCGGCAGATGCACAGGTGGGGGGGGTGGACGACAGGGGATGCTTCTCTATGGTTCTCTAGAAAAGGTCTCGTAAGCTCGAGTTTTAGTACTGGTACGGATGGGTTAGTATGGGAGTTAAGTTGGGTACAGGTGCGGAGCGGGTCTAAATTGGGTTTAGGCGTTCAGTGTTAGCTTCGTTTGTACCATAACCTGAGCTTAAAAACCAACCAGTTTAGAGAAGCATGGTGGAAGACGGGGGTGATAAGAGGGAGGGCGTTGCTTTCAACTTTCCATTTGCAAGACTTCGTAGTTGTTTCCGCAGTACACTTCGGCGGTGTTCCGAGAGTCCTGTAGTCTATTGCAAATACTTGGTACTAAGTCGTCAATTTGCGGCAAGAATAGAGCATGCTCCTCTGAGCATCCTTCGATGGTCGTTTGCCTGACTCGAACTTTCGTTTCTCCAGATAATCATAGAGGGCGGGGCTGCGGGCATGATCAAATCGTCCCTTCAGAACATCGTTTTCACTAACCCAAATCGTGATCCCCCACAGGTTAAATCAAGGGCGAGGTCGCGGGCAAGATTCAACTGTTCCTCCGAACATTGTGTTCACTAATCCAGGAACTTGACCCGCCAGGTGATTGATAAGGGTGATGCTGCGGCCAAGATACAATCATCCCTCCGACCATCGATTCGCTACCCAAAAATTCGAACCCCCAGATGATCCCCGACGGCGAGGCCGGGAGCAAGATCCAATCATTTGTCCAAAAAGCGGTTTCTACTAACCCGAAATCTTGACCCCCCAGATAATATCCGAGGGCGAGGCCGCAGGCAGGATCCAACTATTCCTCGAAACATTGTTTTCACTAACCCAAAAACTTGGCCCCCAGATGATCACCGAGGGCGAGGCCGCGGGCGTGGAGTGGGTCCAGGAGGCGGTGCGGCTGCGCAAGGAACTAGACGCGGAGAAAAAGGCGCGCGTCATGTGGCAGAACATGACGGGGCAACTAGCGCGCGATCTCAACGACGAGAAGGCGCGAAGGGCGCGCGAGCTGAGCGCGGTGCGCGCCGAGTTTGCACGGGGCGCGAACGGACAGTGGCTGGTGCGGGTTGAGGAACTAGAGAAGGAACTGAAGCGCGCCGGGGAGGAGGCCGCAGCGGCGCGCGCTGCGGATCAGGCGAAGGTGAGGGAACTTCGGTTGGTTGTGAACGTTTTCGGGAAAAGGAAAGTCGGATCTAAGGAACGTGCAGGAAACGGAATGTCGGATGACAGGAATGCGTTTGAGACGGACTGGTCTTGCGGAACTGGGAAAACGGCGGGATTGGGAAGCGTCGAGGGGTCGACTAACGGTCGGAAAGATGGCAGAAGGACGCACAGGTCTGCTAATGGTCAGCTTACGTCACCATCAAAGCAGATGCAAGCGCACATTTTGGCCGAGTGGTTGTTTGACGGGCTCGTGATCAATGCTGAGGATGATACGACACGAAGGTTAGGACTTGTGATGAAGAGTTGCTGGTATGGGGAGGTCGTTTGGATAGAATTTTCGCATCTTCCCCATTCTTCCGTATGGAGATTTCGCTAACAAACCTCGCGCTGCACGAATAGCTCCTCTCCATTACAGCGAAACTTTATTTTGAACGCTGATCTTCAATAGATGCCGCTTTCTTCGACTATCAGCGAAGGTGCTGAGTGCGTCCGGATGAGCAGACGTTTGTTCAAACAAGGGAGTGCCTCCCATATGTCGTCCCCTAACACGTCGGGTTGCCACGTGGCAGCTGGCGGAGGCCCAGACGGAGCTCGCGGCCGAAAAGCGCCAGAAGCAATCATGGCAGCAGATTGCGGAGCGCATCGGAAAGGAATCAAAGGAGGGCCGTAGAGAGGTGGAAGTCATCCAAAAGCGCTTACAGGAAGCCCTCCGATCTAGTAAGCCCCCCGTTCCGGCGCCCTCCCCTCCGCCCCCGGCCCGCCGCGGGAGCAGGAGTAGTGTGCGGGGATCCCCTGCTCCCGAAATGGGGGGGTCGGATATGGAAGATCCAGAGGGGAAGAAAGGGAAGCGGGAGAGGGGGGGGGAGAAGCAGGAAACGGACGATGAGGCGACGGACGACGACGAGCCCGTTCCCGGGGGGGAGGCGCGCGGGGCGAAAGTGCCCCCCCGGAAGCGGTTGAAGAGCTTGACGGAGCTGGGGAAGGACTCGCCGAAGAAGGTGTGGAAGTCGCGGCGGCCGCGGGGGACGAAAAAGGGCGACCAGGCAGAGGCGGGGCAGCAGAGCGAGGTCGCCGAAAAGGGGGGGCCGGAAGAGCCGAAGGAAGGGGAGGGGGTCGTGGGGCAAGAAGCATGATGCGCGAGAGGGGGGTGACGATGCGGCTCCGCTTAGGCGGTGGGTCAGTGAAGTGTTCCGGTTTCGAGTGGGAATATTGCGTGCACGCGATATATTTCTAGTGGAGGGATTTTCGTTGGTGGCGGAAAGTAGCACGCTGAGGTGTGTTTGGCTACCGCAAACAGCTGTTTGCCGCAGCTCTGGAGACGGGACTAGAAACGGCGGCTCGGAATTGTTGGTGCGTTGCGACGGCACCCGGGGGGGTGGGGAGACGGGCGTCGGGGTCTGAACGTGCCTAGCGAGGCGACGAGATCAGTATCATAAGCGTCTTTTCTCTCATGCTGAGGGGGGGACAAGAGAACTTCATTTCAATGGTGGCCGACGGCGAGAGAGCTTCTTGGGCGGGCCAATCAGCAACATCTGGTGCCGCTCTAAGCGAGAGCGCAGCTCCCATTCTTTTGGAAAGTATCACGTACCACGTTTCGTGCACGTTGCACCCACAGGCCAGGTCTCTCAGTGTGCGTGCTCTGCGGGATGCATGGGGCATTTGGGCAGACGTCGAGGTCAATTGAATTTGGACCAACCGTGCATGCACGGTCGATCAATCAGGTGCAGTGCGCTAGTATGAGCCTGCGCAAGTATATAGCGCGCATCTGCAACCGTTGAACAGGCTTGCTTGCATCTCATTGAATGCGCATATTTCGCGGAGCTTTCATGTTGTATTGGTTCATACCCATGTGAATGTATGTATCGGGCCGCGCGCTCTATGTTTATTGCGAACTTACTTACAGGGCAATCTATAGCTAAGCCATGCAGGCTGTACGTGGCTAGACAGCGCCGCCGCCGGCCTGCAATCACCAACTACGGCCCCCATGATTGAGTTTATGATCCACCTGTGATCGACTGCATTTCATGTGCACATGATCCTGCACGTTTTCGAAAAATCGCTCGCGGCCAGGCTCATAAATGCTGCAGCTCGCGGCGGCCGGGTATACCTAGTGCCACCATCAGAACCTCGGTGGCCCGCGGGGCCATGCATGCATATCACAGAATTAATCCATGCGTACCTAGCCAAAAGAACTCAATCAGTGCTCCCATGAATCATATGTATGCAGCATGATATAATGCAATCATGGCACAATTTGACTGGGTGCGATTACTGTGATCCGAAAGGCATCAGACATGTCTCGCAGGCTCGTACGCGGTGTCAACTTGTCGACCTCCGAACCGATTTGCAGTCTCCAGCAGTCAATATGTCATGGACTTCGGTCTAGGCTAGTGACAGTAACGGTCATGTACAATTAGTACAGTCGGGGTAATTGAGTCAACTCATATGGACGAGACCTCTTCTTTCTAATGTGCAAGGGCCCACGTCTCCATCCCAGGTACCTTTCCCATTTCTTCCCTAGCTTTGACGATGCTAGTCGCAAACGCGCTTGACTCTCTGATGCACTCATCCGGCGCCACAATAAACGCCTCCGCATCCATGCATATGTTTTTATCTAGTATCCCCTGGATACCAGCATCAATATTCAGAACAGTCTGGTCAAACATCTCCCAAGTTGCCGCTTCAAGATCCGAGAGAACATGAGCTGCGGCATCGCTAGCCATTCTCATTTTCTTTTCCGGGTCTTTCAGCATCATGTACGAGTGCGAGCGGAGCGTGCCGTTCTTCGTCGGCGCATCCGACGCAAAGAAGACACGTGTCGCCCCCAGGGCGGCCAGCCGCTTGTGCACTGTGGATAAAAGCCCTGGACGCAAAGCAGAGGAAAAGTTGTAAAGAACCGGTTGAAGCTTTCGACCCCTTTCATTCTGAGAAGGCGACCAGAACAGATTCCGAGACGCGTGTGCAGTGATCGTCTCAAGAAGCGAACTTTTCTGCGAAAGCAAAGCTGTCTGACGAACACGGTGGCGCCATGAGCTGAAAGGGACAGCTAGATCAAGCGGAAGGCATAACAATCGCCCGTGAACACAAGACTGCTGAAGCTGCGGAGCTCGACGAGAAAGAACCTCAAAGCCACAACTGCTCATCACACTTCGTTGCTGCTCTGCTCAAAACTTTCTGCTCTGAGCGCTAGCTTTTCCTCACGAGACAAGGCTTTCGACCGTTGTCCGCTTGAAAACCTCAGGCTGCGCGCATTGGCAGTGCACGAGTTCGGCACTTCCATTACTCCGGCCGTCGTCACATTCAAAGTTTCGATAGCGCACGACCAGCCGATGCAGAAGAAGAGGAGGCACCGGGCGTTTCGCCGGGGATGATCCGGTCTCACCTTGGCTGCACTTGCGGAGGACCCCCTCGTCGCAGTCGTCCCTCATGAGGCACTTTTCTATTCGCCACTGTACCGCCACATACCGCTCCCCCAGCCACTCTTTCAACCGCCCCGCATTTTTCAGGATCTGTTCAAGGTGAGAAGGAACGAGTTTGGCTGCGTGCTTTCGGCGGCCAGCGAGAAGCTTCAGATCCGGTATTCTGCCGGGAGATGGATAGGAAGAAGGGTATCCGAGTAGAAGGTTGAGAACGGTGATTCCACGGTTGGAACACAGCAGGTGAAAAACAAACTGTCTTTTGCCTGATGGATACTTCTCTGATCTCCTGATCGAGACACAGCCAGCAGAAGGCCAAGACGTGGATTTCCACGTGCTTCGTTTAACTTGAAATCTTCTGACTAACTCCTAAGTAGCTTCGGATTGCTTTCAGGAAGTCGGCCGTCCTTGAGCAGAAACTAGAGCGAGATACAATCGGCCCTCACCTGGGGCGCCGGTCGCACATACTGCAGCGCCTCTTTCACCGCCTCCTTCGGGAAGAACAGATTGTACGCCCGGTTCTTAACCCCGACCACCACATCAAGCTCTCCGAGGTACCTTTCCGCAGTCTCCACGACTCTCTCAAGCGACCGGTCGAGCGCCCCCGGCGCCCCAAACTTCGGCTCGTTTATACAGATCACCGTTTCTGAGTCTAACAGCTGTTGCATGCGAAACCAGAGAAACGGCTTCACTCGCAGCCCGCAGAAGTCCTCCGGCCCTTTGAGAACGAGTACGCCCCCCGAGGGCTTGTTCTGGCCCAGCAACTGGTCCGATTCTAAAACGCCGTCTTCTAGCCAGTCGTACTCTCCTAACGGAAGTGTCTCGGGCCGTTGCCATTCGACATCGAACGCAAAGCGGACGGCCTTGCTGCGCGCGTCTGCCCAAAACTTTCTGACGGTGCTCATGTCGAGACCGCTGTTGAGCCTGCTCCGAGTGTCGTAGATGAATTGCTCGGGACTTACCCAGTCCACGAACTGTCCCAAGCGGTGCACGTCAAAGTATGTACAGAAGGGCTTGCTTCGTTGCATCCCGATCTCGCTTTCCCCGACCTCAGGGAGAACCAAAGTGCGGTTCAGGCTGCGCGCGAGCACGATAAACTCCGCGAGGTGGCGCGTCGACTTGGTCAGCTGTTCATTGATCTGGCCCAACAACAGGTACTTTTCTGCAAACAAATGGAAGTATGCTGAGCACGAAGGTTCTCAAACAGACAGAAACTTTCTGACGAGAATAGAAGTTCCTCTCAATGGAAGAACCTCAATCAGCACGAAGGTGGTTTGTGCAAGGTTCAGGTAGAAAAGTTTTCTCAAAAGAGGAAGCGAGAATCTTCGTACTCGGCCAGTCCACAGCAGGGACAAGATTCTGCAGCGCTAGTCTGAAATGCATTCGGTGCGAAATCCACGGGTTTCGACGATATGACAACTACTTTCTATTGAAAACGACATTTGATCCTGGCAAGGAAGGGGCCCACAAGTGATTAGATGATTCCAGAAACTGCTGAACAAACCTTGAAGCGACATTCTCTTCAACCAATCAACGTCTTTTTGTGACCAGGGAACGCAGAGTTGCATATATCATCATCAGGGGGTGATTAATACAGTCACCCTACAGACAGGCCCTCAGCTGCGTACAACTGAGACTACCCCTGTAAGCGTTGAGAAAATGGTGGTGTGATTGTCTTATTCTCCAATATGCTTCTCTCTCTAGATTTACCCTTATCTGTGACAGCACGCCCCAATTGGAATATAGTAGGCCCCCTGGGTCTTGATGTTGTACACGTTTACTCGGATACCCTGTGCCTTGCTAGCACTTGACCAGTTGCTCGGTGGCTTAGCAAAGATGAAACAGAAGGACCCTCTCAGCATTCAAAGTCAAAGAGTGGTGGCATTTGAATTGAGACGCCTGACGGCTTGATGTGTTTCGGACTTGCTTGTGGCCCTCTTGTTAACATTTCTCAGAAGCTCGAGGGTTTGGTTAGAAACAACGGCGAACAGGGGATTTTGGGCCCTGGCGAACAACTGCATCCAATCTTACCTGGATTAAGGCCCACTCGCCGGGAGAATGCAGGGATTGGGGGGCAGTCCCAATCTTCCAGGCTGGATGGTGGTGCAAAGTGAAACTTTTCGTTGTTACTCCCTTCAAGGAAAGGCATCTTCCCATTTCTCAACAGACTCCTTGATTTAGTGAAAGTCTGCACTGTCTCCTTCAAAGCGCCCTTGGCATCATGAGCCCAGGCGGCAGCATTCACCCAGTCATTGCTTATGAAGAGAAGCAGCAGGCCTGTGGCGACAACGCTGTAGGTCAGGCGATTGCGCCACTGGTTGAAGAGGCTCCTCTTCAAGCCGAGGGTCTTCATCGCAGCACTGGCATTATCATGTGGGACTTTCAGCTGATCTGCAGGCTGGCAGAAGGTTTTGGAGCAGCACAGCTGTGTGGACTTGGCATCCTTTCTGACGAGGAACGAGCTTTTGGAAGATCTGTCAGCTTCAGCTCTGAACAAACCTAAGGCTACAGACGGAGGAGCAGTAGAAAGGACCGCCCATGTTGCATGGACACTTCCAAGTTTCTGTGCAAGTGCAGCCAAAATGCTGGCAATTTGAGCCCAATAAAGTTAAATTGCAGCGCACTGGATATAGGGAGTCTGGATCTCGGATTTAGGGGTCTATTTCACGCAGCCCGTCTCGATTATCCAACGGGTGAAACGGATCAAAGCGTGCGCATCGACGGTCAATCCTTACCCGATGAAACACAACTTCGTGTGCATGCCCTATGAGTGTGTTGAACCCTGAAGGGACTCGAAACCTCACCTTTCTGCAAAATGCATGTTGAAGAAGTCAGAACACTTCATGTCTGCGCACAAAAGCATGTCTAGGACTAACCAGTAGACTCATGCTGACGTACATGGACAAACTTGCATGGACATATGAGTCAGACATGCGGCAAAGAATCAAGCATTCGGTTGAATTCCCGCCGGGCTCAGTGCATTGGCAAGCTTCTCTTGGGATTGAAGCTTGCCAGAGCAACTCTGGGCATGCCCGAGATCTAAATCTTTGCAGCTTGATCTGTTTCCGTGACTTTCTTCCAAGGGACTGGAGACATATACCTTTGTGCATTTGCCATGAGTGCTTTCTGTACGTACATATCGCCATCTGTTAAGGGTCATGCAGTCTAGTTCAATCACTCCATGTCGAATGAATATAAAATCTGTCTAATCTTCAGCCCTGCCACTTTTCAGCCAGCATGCAATTGACTTCTCATCCAGATAACGATCAATCGACACACTCTGTAAGAGCACATGCGCTTCTGAGCTCAAGTCCAATGAATCGACTGAGCTCAATGATCAACTGAACGTCAGACCTATCCTCGGCTTCACATCAGGTTTGACATTGGGCTTGGCACAAGCACTGAATTGCACAAGGATTGTCACTGACACCAGCTTGCAGTGGTCGTACCATCTGACGTTTATCTACGAGTAATCGTGCAGAAAGATTGATGGTCATAGCTCTGTTAAAAAAGTCTTCAGATTCCGGCCCCCTTAAGGAAACGGCCGGCAGCTGACCATCTCTTGCAGAATAGATTTCGATCCCCCGGCTGACAATCTCAGATTCAAAACTTCCAACCCAAGACACCAAACCCATCTGCCACCCCTAGGCGCACCGGCGGCGGCCCGTGCATCCGACTCCCTGGTCGGTTTTGTGGCGGCTCAACGCTTTGAGACGCCGTCGAGTCATCCGACCTGTCGTCAAAATAACCTCTGCTTTTTGACGCTAGCTCTCTGTGCCTGAGGTACTCCCGTCTCTCTTGTCGACTCATCTGACTTAGCCGTTTGTGGTGCTCCGAGTCACTCTGTTGTACTGAAGGCTGGAGTGGAGCAATATCGCCTCCCATTGCGATGTCAAGCGGTTCAGAAAAGAATGTATCGGCCGTGACCTGCAGGGGGGATCGTGTGACGTCATTTCCTAACGTTCTTGCATTCTTCTCAAGGTTTTAATCAACAGATTAAGATTGCAGCTCCCTTGACACAGCAAGTAGGCAGCAAGTCGACGCGAAAAGCTCAGATACGATTGAAGCGGAGCACCCCCAACCTGAAGGATGAAACGGTGAAAAGACTCGCAAACCCCTTGACAATCAGTCTAGGCGTCAGATCGATGATTTGCAATCAGCCTCTGCTACGCCCATTCAAGACCCCTGCACGAACCTTTTGGTACGCAACACGATGACTAATACTGGAACGCCGTTGGAAGAAAGCGAAGCACTATGATGATGGAGCTACAGCCCTTGTCGGTCCAGAGGCGAGTTTCGCAACCTTTTCGTCCACATAGGCACGTGATTCATAACCTAATCTCTGTCCATCACGTTAGGCAGAACGAGGTCTGATCTTTCTAGTACGTCGACATCCGTTCTCAGTTGTTGAGATGTGGCTCGCTCTTTCTGGCTTCATTTTGATCAATCACACAAAGCGGGCATCGTTTGGGGTCCACTAGATGCCCTACCTCGGTGTGTCTTCGCAGCTCCGGCCGCCCTTGTGCGGGGACATTCACCCGAGACGACTCACTCCCACCATCTTCCCTTCGTGCCATGCGGTGCTCCCTCTCCCACCCCATCCCTTCCCCTCTCCCCGTCCCCGACATCTCCTCTTGTCGCTCCAACACAACTGGACCTGCCCCCTCCGGCGAAATCCCCCCCTGCTGCCTCCTCCGTTCCAAATCTGCACGGATCCTCTTGCGCAAACCGCCTCTCTCCTCTCGTTCCTTGTGTCCGCTCCCTGAGGCCGGCTCACCCTCCGGACGCTGGGCCGTGCGAGCGCGGTCCGACGGTCCGAAGTTCGGCTCGTGTTGGGACCCGTTATCGGGGGCTGGCGGCAGGCGCGGGTACGCTCGTTCGCCGTTCTCATCGTACATGACTCCGCTCGTGTTTGGTCTCGCGTTCAGGGCAGCGAGGGCGGGATGGTTGGGGTACTTCTCACGCAGGCTGCAGAAGAGGAAGGTTCGAGAATGATGTCACATAATCTAAAAATCGAGAAATGAGAAGCTTGCTTTTGGAAAGTATCCAGTCTGACATGCCACTCGTCATGCAATATGAATTGGACTTGCTATCTTTGACCCACTTCCCCTCTTTTGCACCTTTAAAATGGAAGAAGCGGCGGGCCCCCATCCCTCCTCTTTTTCCTCTCTGCGCGATCGCACAGATGCGAAGAAAACTTGAACACACCTGAAACGGACTACGCAGTCAAAACGATGCAACAACAGGCTGCAAATCTCCTCAGCAGGTCCTTTTCCAACTTCCTGCTCTTCTACATCTTGAAAAGAAAAGGCAGCAGCCGCGCAATCCCTCGCTTCCTCCTTTCAACACATTGCACGAATTGGACCGATACGCACCAGCTGCAACGGCCTCCGTAACCAAGCCAAGAAACAAGCGACACCGGACGGCAGAACAAAATGGCAGGTCCACACCAAGTTCAGCGACACATCTTCTTACTATCAGTGTCCTTTTGCAGGCAGAGCATGAAGAAGGCAGTCGCCAATCAGCCACCCAGAGCGACTTGGCCGCGGCTGCTCACATTGCAACAAGCTCTCCTTGCAGTGGAGAACCGTCAAGTTCCAAGAGTTTTTTTGTAGGCTTGTCTCTGGTAAATAGAGGGTACCCAAGAGAGCCGCCATAGGCCAGGCCAGCTGCATAACAAACAAATTGGCCTCATTAGTTGGACCACTGACAGTACATATGCAGATTAACTTACCCCTCCCTGCTGAGGAGGTCATCCTTCCCAAAGCAATCTTTTCCGAGGTCTTCAGATAGGTCTGCAGCAGTCACAGCACACACAGACCTGCAGGTCGAAGAGGTAGAATGAAAGCCCTGCAAAGATCTCCGCCAGAGCACTTCTACAAAAGGAGGCTTGAGGAACCTCACCTGATGCTGCTCCAGAGGAAACGGTGAAGCGGAGAAGGGTTTGTGGACGCCAGAAACGGAAAGCTGGACAATCAAGGCAGTGTGTCAGAACAAGCAAACCACATGCGTGAGGGTTTGAGATTTTAGATTGGAGGTTTCAAAGTGCAAAGCACCACCAGCTCAATCAGAACCAAAAAAACTGCTGAAACTCTGAGCTCCTATCCTACTTTGGTTTTCAAAGCAGCTATGAGAACAGTTTGAGTACACTGTAGTCATGTAAAGTCCAACTGATGCAACTCAATCCTCGTGCCAGCAGGAGCATCAGAGCGTGCGATGCATTCTCGCTGATCCATGAAACTGAACTGACAATCATTCGCGAGAAACTTACCAAGCACGCCTGGGAGAGTGAACAGAAACGTCCCGCCAACATAACCCAGCAGAATCTGCCGGTTCAACCAGGAAAGCACATTCAATTCGTCTGCGTTCGGACGATACTGCGTCTCTTTCACGCGCACCAAGAGCTCACGAAGGACCCTCAAATCTTGTGTTGTCCGCGAGAAAATTCCTGTTCCCCCGCTTTGCTGAGTCCTCTCCTGCCTGGTCTCCATGACGCTAGGATTCTTCACATTGAATTTGAACGTCCTTTCTTCCAGCCGTCAAATTCAAAACACGACCAGTCCGCCCTCACCTGGAGGGGTAGACATCTAGGACGAACTTGGTCGGTCAGTTTGGCATTGTGTCAAGTCCCGTCCGGCGAAACATTTGGTCCCTATCAGTACTCATCGAGTCGAGGCAGTGTCGCCGGCCCACGGGCCGTACAAAATTGGAGTCGTACGGTCGGAACTGATGACGTCACCGGTCGAGTCTTGGCCGGAGTCAAATTTGTAGAGTGATTTTGCGACGCCTTACTGCGGATTTTGAAGCACGGCCGACGGCAGTCTTGAATCTTCACGACTAAGAGCTAGGGGTCGCTAAGCATTGTAGGCAGCCTACTCTTATTTTCAGGTCTTTTCATCTTTTCAGAAGCTGTAAATTGCAATGAAGCATCGTCTATATGCGTGCTAATGTTGGCACTAATCAGCACAACATTTGGTGGACATTTGCGCAATCGGCATGGTGACCTTTCTGAGTTTGCGGCCTCCGTTATCTTGAAAGCGCTGTATTGGGCAGCTTAAAAAGTTGGTTCGTGACATTGGAGGGTTTTCGCGTGTGCAGTGTCAGCCGATCAAAACACATATTCGGCCGTCGGATTGCTCATCCGACGGTCCGACCGTAAAGTCTCGACACTACCAAATTTACCAGGGACGGGTTGTGAATGAAAACGCATCAAACTTCAAAGAATGTCCGTACACGAGCCCTGATCAGTTGCTTTTTGTCATTTGGAGGGCGACCAGATCTGCCGCACTTCCTGACGTCGACGCTGATATTCCCCCGTCACGGCTGTGGACAGTTAAACGGCTGGAGATCTGTACGAAATGCCGGTCCTTGGCGGCTGATCGACGGCATGCGCGGAGGTCGCCCGTTTGATGCTCGAGAGGCGCCAGCAATGGCAGGCTGATCAAACTCTTCCTTTTGAAACTGCTTCAGACTTCAGCATTTCCTCAGGCTCTAGGCTCTAGCTCTGAGCAGTGAGGACACTCTTTGGAGTTGGGAGACTTTGTAGAGGGGAGGAAGGGCAAAAGGCCAACACTGCCAGGTACTGGTGAGAAGGTCGTGCAGGGCTCCTGTACGGGCGCTCGTGACCATGTCTCGCGCTGTTTGCAAGCTGCTCCGGTCGCCGGTCAGTGGGCCAGACGTCCTTCTGGCACCGGACTGGAAGAAAGCCTCCGCACAGTTCTCTGCGCCGGGGCGCGCCCTCGTGCCTAGCAGGGGGTTCACCGCAACGCAGATTGTGTGTGGGGGAGGGCCGAAGCAGAAGGAGGGGCCCATCTGGGGGAGGAGCCTGCGGAAGCTAGGGCTAATGGAGAAGTGGAAGGATGCCAAGAAGGAGCGGATTAAAGTGGCGATTGAGCGGCAGAAACTAGAGAGGGAGCGGCGAGCCATCAGGTGGGAGGCGGCCCAAAGCTCAGAGCTTGTCTAGGAGATAAATCTGCGGCTTGCTGTCCTTCGGGCACAGATGTCAAGGTTTTTAAGGCTTTGTGGTCGATCTGTAATGGTGAAAGCGGCCATTACCAAGCTCTGCAGAAAGTGTTTAGTTTCTGGGCGAAGAGGGCGTCTGGCCGCTCCTCGGGCGTTTGTCGAAGTAGTTCTGCGTGTCACTGTCTGGCCTACAAGACTTTTCACAATGGGACTTAGATGCTGAGACTCCCGCAGGCTGGTCGAACAATATTTGAAACGCAACTGTTGAGGTATTAAAATTACGTTTCTGGCTCGTACGACCACGCCATCGGATGATCCGGTTGAAATCGCCACATTGCATTGCTCCTCAGCAAATTGAAGTCTCAGAAGTTGCTCCTGGCTTCTGTGTCTCGCTCTTTGACTTTATCCAAAAGAGGACAGTTTGTTCGACAACTTGCCTCGCCTAAATCCCATCCTGCTTCCATTCTCTCAGCTGAGCTCTTTGAAAGAAAAAAGGGTTGCGTCAAAATCAGGCGGCTGGTGAGGGAAGCTCCGCTCGAGCTCCTGCCCGGTTGCGATTCTCTGCCCCTTTCTCCTCGCCGTTCGTCATGTGGGGTCGCATCTAGCTTCCTTCCATTGCTGTGCTGAAAAAACCCAGCCCACTTTTGCAATTTTGACATGACCCTTTTGATCTTCTCAGCACGGTGGTGCAGGCGAAGCCGCAAGCACCATGCTTCTGTCACAGACCGGCTCTCAAAGGCAAAGCTGCATGTTACTTATCGAATCTCCGATCTTTTGGCGAGCAGAAGGAAGTTCTGCTTTTTTCAACCGGTTGCCTTTTGAACGAATTCGCTCTTCAACCACATCAGCATACGACCTCTTCCCAGACCCAACTCTGAGAACCTGAAAGAGAGAAGCCTTAAACCGCCTCAGTCCCTCACACCTGCGAGGGACTTATCTTAAGATTCCAATTTTAACATTCCAATGTCTGCTAACTCCTTCAAACCCAAAATTTTGCAGGCGGGAGTTGCAACTAGCAATGGAGGAGCGGCGGCGCGCGGAGCACGAGCGCAAGTTGGCGGAGTTGGCGCGCGCGGGGATCATCGTGGAGGGGGGCTTGGACGAGCGGGCAAAGAAAGAGGACCTGCTGAGCGCTCTGAGGACGGGGCAGCCGGTCAGGGAGCCGTGGCAGGAGGGCCTGGAGAAAATCACGATGAAGGTAAGGGGAGCGATTTTTGCCTCAGGACTTGATTTCTTTCTGGGCTTGTGGGCATGTTAATGTAGCGACGGGGGGTCGATGCCAAAGTTTGTAAGTCGGGGGCGGGTATGAAGGTGCCGAATGCTGAGGGACCGGAGAAGATTGTCATGAAGGTATGGCAAACTTCCTCTTCTTGGGATCGCTCGTAAGCACAAGGGATCCGACCTGAGGCTTTTTGAGGCGTAGTTGGATTTCAACATATTGCCACCTGATATAGAAGGCTGGCCCACTTTTCTGCTAAGAGTTTGTCTGACTCTCCTTGAAACTCTTGTTCTTGCCGAACACTGAGAGGGTTGAAATACCAGTCCACCAGGAGGCAGTGCGCAGACGAGCATCTCTGACGACCTTTTTGTGCGCTTCCTGATGCTCAGTTCGAATCTTTTCGTTCCTTCGATTCTGACTCGTTTCTTTTCCTGCTGCAGGCCTTTAGAGAACGACTCGCAGGGCTCTCGATGATTCTTTCGCTTTCGATGTTCGTTTCTTCGTCCTCCAGGACATTGAAAAACGTTTGCAATGATGAGAGAGCTGCAGGCTCTGCGGAGGCAGGCGAGCCGCCTCTGAGAACTGCAACGCCTGTTAAGTTTCATCTCGCTGATGTAGAACTATGAACTCTCTGTGCAGGACATCCAAGAGACATTTGCGACACCCGTGAATCTCGAGGCGCTCCGCGAGGCGGGCGTCTTCGACGAGAAGGGAGTTCTCGGGGCGGAGCGGGGGCGCGACCGGCGGGCGACTCCAGAGAAACCGGGGGACAACGACTGGGGGCTGCGGCCGGCCCCCCGGGAGGACCAGGTCAGCCTGGACGACCTGCGCGAAATTTTCCGGGGGGGTGTAACCGAGGGGGCAAGCAAGGGGGGGGCGAGAGACAGGGTGCCGAGGGGGGTGAAAAGTGAGATTGAGGAAGATTTGGAGAACCGGGAGAGGGAGCACGCTGTTTTGGAGGGGATCACTGTGCCGGAAACCGTTGCTGAGGCGGAGGATTTGTTTTGTGGGGAGGAGAGGGGAGAAGAATGGGAGCAGTGGGAGGGGGGGTCGGAGTCCGAAGGGGAGGGGAGAGAGGCGGATGGAGAAGAAGGGTTATCGGAAGAAGAGGATGCGTTGTTGAGGGGGGAGGAAGGCGTATCAAACAGCGAAGCATTTGGAGCGAGTAAGTCAATCGACTCAGATCTGAGAAACGGGTTGAGAATCCACGAAGAAGACGGGGAGGAGGATACGTGGGGGGATGACGACTTCGAAGTCTTGAGGGAGCGCCCGGTGGCTGCATATCAACACTCTTGGGACGCGATCCTCGAAGAGGGGGATCCTTCCGGGAATGGCGAGTCGGCGGAGGCCGGGGGCAATCAGGTGGTGAATCCGTACAGTGGGTGGGTGCGCGTTTACACCAAGCCGAAGAAGACGAAACGGGGCCGGATTATTCCCCTAGAGAAGCGAGGCAACAGCTCCGCTAGGATCAAGTTTCTGTTAGAGACCGTGCATGAGAGGCAGGAGGGGGAAGTAGGTAAAACGGAAGAAGAGCAAGACGCGCAATTGGAGCAAGAACTCATGCAGGCGACTTAAACATTGTCACGATCAGCCCGAGCTCGTGTTGCCAACTTCACCTGTAGTGCTTTGGGTCAGTCCATTTTATGTACATCTAGCCCAGTCTGGAAGTGTGCGGCTCCTAGGCAGTCCATGTCCATGCAGTTCACGTCCCCATTGCGTGGATACATATGAGACAGAAATCTGTAAATCGTGATCCATTGGAACCAACGTGTTGCATCACGAGCATGCGCTCGAAAGCATGCGATTCAGCCTTCAAAAACAACTTGTCAGAGTTGTAGATGGGATGTTGCAAATACTCAATATTGTTGAAGGTATTCTGCATGTACGTTTGTGCTTGGTGTGAGCTGGAGCTTTCAAGCCATGGGCAAAACTCAATGCAAAGAGTTCAATGTACCGGAGAATTTAGCTTCGCTTGCAATCAATGTGTGATTGTGTAGGACAACTTGTTTAATGTCTCATGCATGCATGAGATATTCATATGCACGCATTGAAATGTTTGTCCTAGTGACTGCAAGCTAGAGTTGGTAGGGATGAGTTGGCTAAAAGTTGTTTCAGCCGCGAGAGCCCGGATCGAATATATTAGCTGTCTTGAGTTGCTTCTACGTCACAGTTCATAACGGAACGCAGGATGTTATGCGTGACTATAGTGGAATGATTGCATAGCATCTAAGTACTATTGAGTTTTGAGTTTGAAGCATGGCATGGTCAAATCGCATCTTGTGTGCATGAGTCGCGTGCGGACACTACCGGTATATGAGATGGAACCATTGGTATAATACAATAACACGAGTGGTTGAGGTGAGAGGGAAAACAGGTTGGTAGCGATCCGATCCACTTTATTTCACCGACAAAAACAAGGGTGGCAACATGTGTTGCTAAGAATCGATGAATCAGTTTCGGTCTTAGCTCGACTCTGTACAGGTTTGACGCAGACACAGAACTTCCGTAGGCTAGCATTGACAAATTACTGGCCGGGGGTGAAGGCAGTGGCGTAAGCCCAGGCGTTGTTGACGCTAGGGTTGTCGAGGTGGTCAGACAGGTTCTGGAGGGGGCCCTTGCCGGTGACGATGGCCTGGACGTAGAATCCGAACATGGAGAACATGGCGAGTCTGCAAGAAGCAAGGGAAACCGAGGTTAGTCAGGCGGAGTGTCAGACCCAATCAAGCTGATGACATTGACTGGAAACAGGCAATTGGGGCCATGAGAGAATACAACTCGACAAACATTGCACACCCAAGGTGCATCCTGGTGTGCCAAGTGCTGAGAACGAGACATAGGAAGAAGTTCAGACAAGGAAGTGCAGGAGGGAAAGTAGGACGAACACCCACCTTCCATTCTTGATCTCCTTGGTCCTCAGCTCAGCGAAGGTGTCGGGGTCCTCAGCCAGGTTCAAGCTGCAGAAGGGAAGGAGTGGGTGAGTTGCTGAGGGGGATGTGTGTTCAGGTCCACAATTCCTACATAGAACGACCTGTCTTGAGACGCAATTGAATCTCTCAAATTGCTTGGTTTGAGAGGGCCATCCCCTGGCAGCATTGCATTATGTGCCTTCCCCCAGTGCACTTGAAGAACACTTCACTGGAGACAAGCCCTTGGCCGTGTGTCACAGTCGGCACTTGACAAATGCAGAGTTCGCAAAACTTACGGGTCGAACTGGCCACCAGGGTACAGGGGGTCCTCAACCTCGCCGAGGGGTCCACCGTTCACCCTGTATGCCTCAACGGCACCCATCAACACAACCTGGGGCAATGAAAAAGAAGGGTCAGAACAGGATGTAAGGCCAGGGGGGGTGCGCGGCAATTGTCAGTTGCAACAGCATCCCTGCTTCTATTCAAGTACTCTGTAAGCGAGTCAGACGAATTGCCCCAGAAATGGACAGTCAGGAACGTCACTCGCAGAAAGTCAGCTGCAGCGCACAGATTCTGGGAGAGTCAAGTTGGTGTAAACGTCATGCAAACAGGAGAGAAAAATAATGCGAGTTCACAACCAATCAGGTTGTGCATTCTTACCTGGGAAGCAAGGATGGCCAGGATGGACTGGGCGTGGACGAGGCTGGGGTTGCCGAGGTAGTCCAGGCCGCCGGAGGCGAAGATCTGAGAGCCAGCCTTGAACCAGACGGCCTCACCGAACTTGGTGCCGTTCTGGGCAAGGAGCTCGGGGAAAACGCACCCCAGAGCACCGAGCATGGCCCACCGGGCGTGGATGACCTCAAGCTCGCGGTTCCTGCATTGTGCACCGGCCGGGTGAGAAAACTGAAACGCTCTTTGCAGTATCCCAGTACTAGAGCTGGCATTGTGCAAGTGTCAAAGGGGTCCAGCCTAGAAACCTACTTGCCCCTGGCCCCGTTTGAACCCGGCCGCCTCGTGAGTATGAGAGAGCTTTGCAGTAAATGATACTAAAGGAACTGCTGTATGCCGGACATGTGCGCAATTCGCCTGCCCCACTCTGCCGGCCAGTGCCGATTACTTCTCCACTGCTACTGCACTTGCAGCTACTCCGCTCATGCTTCCCCACCGAGGCAGATTGCCTCAAGGCCGTCAATGCCGCTATGGCGCATCCACCTCCCAAAGTTACAATACTAACCAGCAAACAATCAGCGCCGCACCGCAAAATTCATGTGCTCCAGAAGTGGACTCGAGCAACTCAAGCGCGAAGGCAATTCTCAGCAACTGAAAGTTTTGAGATGAATCGCGCAAAAATGCGAGCAATTCAATGCAATATCAATCAGCCTTTTGCTCCAAGCATTGGCTTCTCACCTGGCGAAGGTCTCGGGGTCAGCGGACAGACCGGCGGTGTCCCAGCCGTAGTCACCGGCGAACTCTCCCTTCAGGTAAGAGGGGGTGTCTCCGGAGAAGGGGCCCAAGAACTTAACACGGTCGGGGCCATAGAACTCGACCATGGAGGTCCTGGCGCCATTGCTGACCTGGGAGACCTTCTTGGAGGCAGCTACCTTGCCGGTGAAGCTGCTCACCAGGGCGGAGACGGAGGTGGCGGCAAGGGCGGAAGCCATTGTGACTACGGCTGGAGGAGAGAAGAAGAAAGTTGGAAGTTTTGAGAGTTGGGAATCTTTGGAATAATTTTGGAAGGTGGAGGGTTCCCGGCTTTTATAGCAGAATCGAGGTGGCCGCAGTCGCAATCGGCTTGGATAGCCCGTCCAGTCTGGAGTTGGCTTAGAGGAGGAAGCTCTGACTGCAGCACAGCCATTGCGGACTTCTGCGGGCAGTGGCGCCCGATCTCCCTTCGTTGGTGAATCATTTGCTGCGAAGTCATTGGCTAAAAGCGATCTCCTGGCTCTCCCTAGCGAGTCACACGCCTGAAGAGACGCGCTCATTTGCTGAGACTGGCGCGCAGAGAGTGGTGCTCGCGCCTTGCCAATGCTCAGATTTTGTTCCAGACTGCGGCCGGTCGAAGGAGATCACAAAAGCGAATCGGAAGGGGCTGGTATGAACCGTCGATATTTCCCTCCAAGGCTCGTCACACCTTCGATGTTAATCTCTCCTTGATAATTCTATGCGGACGGCGGAGAACAACTCCAAAAGCACATCGACCACGGAGAGGCAATCTGGAGAGTAAATGCGCGGGTGGATAATGTCCCTGCTGTCGTCATCAACTATCATTAGTCCGTATTGTACGGAGAGAGTCCTTTGTGCGCGAGCGGCTATGAAAGCTTTGTTGAAAGGTTTGAAGGGTTGTCGAAGGGGTAAAGTCTAGCTCGATACATGACGTCAAAAGCACTCCCGCTCTTTTATCCTGAAACGGATTCCATGATTCCCAGACCGCATCGACGGCCGAGAACGGGCTCCACTTCGCTCCGCGAACCTTGTGCCGTCCAATCGCGGTGCCGAAAGTGATCTCGTCTCAAAATCTGAAGACCACAGATCGCTTCTAAGTTCTCACGTGGTTTTCGAATGCGAGCTTGCGGGTTTCCTCTTTTTGTGTCTCATCATTGACGTCATTCTATCCTGCGCGAAGCGCACCCAAAACTCGCGCGTGAGACCTTGCGGTCGAATCACCACGCTTGAAACTGCGCAGGCAAACAATTGATAGCGCGCGTTTCGTCAGTGACACAATCTAGTTTGCACGGCCGCCGTGGATCAGCGAATGAGCAACTGACCTGGAATGCGCAGCGAATGGGATGCGACCTTCCGCTCCGCCGCCCAGCCAATGCCTGCGCAGCAAAATCGCGCAGTCAGCACGAGGGCGACACACAGCAGCCCCAGTCTGCAATGTGCATGCGGCAAGCAGATCACCAGTCTGTGACTGCATTCTGGCTCTGATCTGTGACTGCCTTTTGGCTCTGATCAGACTGCTTGTGAGTTTCCCTTCCGTTTGCCTCCTCCAAGTTGCAGCGCCTTCATTAGCTCCAAATTCCTCGCATTCATCGCCATTCCCAACACAAACTTTAGAAACTCACTTGTTGTTTAGCAATCACCTAAACTAGACACAATGGCTTCCGCTCTGGCCGCCGCCTCCGCCACCCTGGTGAGCAGCTTCGCCGGCAAGGTCGCTGCCACCAAGAAGATCTCCCAGGTCAGCAATGGCGCCAGGACCTCCATGGTTGAGTTCTATGGCCCTGACCGCGTTAAGTTCCTGGGCCCCTTCTCCGGTGACACCCCCTCATACCTGAAGGGAGAGTTCGCTGGTGACTATGGCTGGGACACCGCTGGTCTGTCCGCTGACCCCGAGACCTTCGCCAGGTGAGGATCCAGGAGATGCAGCAACCAGCAAGGCAATGCAGGAAGGACAAGTGGATTGGACCAGATAAACTGGTGCCTTGGCAAACAGCGTGAATTTGTGGACAACTTGCCACATTGGGCCTTCTAGTCCCTGATCTGAGATTTGAAAGAGTTACTTGCGACTGAAAATCCGGTGACATGTAATTGATCACAAGTGACTCAAATTCTATGAGTACCAGGTGCATTCATGCTGATTGACACGGAGCCACCAATGTCAATCTGCCTGTTTATCAATACTAAACACGGCACAATAGGCAGATATTTGGGTGGCTGAAACAGGATGTGAAAGAGAGTGATTGTGGTTCAGTAGTCCTGCAACCGAAGACCAGTCCAGCATCTGATGTAAACTGTGTCTCTACAGGAACCGCGAGCTTGAGGTCATCCACGCCCGGTGGGCCATGCTCGGTGCTCTGGGGTGCGTCTTCCCCGAGCTCCTTGCCCAGAACGGCACCAAGTTCGGTGAGGCCGTCTGGTTCAAGGCCGGCTCTCAGATCTTCGCCTCCGGCGGCCTGGACTACCTCGGCAACCCCAGCCTTGTCCACGCCCAGTCCATCCTTGCCATTCTTGCTTCCCAGGTGAGACCTAATCTGACATGGAGTGTATCTTTCCTTGCTGTTCGACTCTGCCGACTCTTGTTCTGTTTCTATCTTGTACATTGCCTTGCAGATTGCCTGCTTTAGTTCAGACAGCAGGTCTTTGCATCTGTAGGACGACCTCGGGTATCTTCAATGAAGACTGGCATCCTTGACAATAAAATGCAACCTCCCAGTCCAAGCAAGACTGCCAATTCCAGCCGAAGCAGAGTCTGAAGGAGTTGCAAGTGTCGACCAGGCCCTAACATTTTTTCTGTCTATCCAGGTTGTGTTGATGGGTGCCGTTGAGGCATACAGGGTGAACGGTGGACCTCTTGGCGAGGTTGAGGACCCCCTGTACCCCGGTGGCCAGTTCGACCCGTAAGTTTCCAGTTCCCATTACTTCATCCCATTGCATTGTGCCTTCATTCCACATACTCCTTGACTACAATACTTCTCGACTACAATTCTGTCCTCTTACCTGCCTCTCTAGCAGCTCCCCAGAACAAGAGGACTCCCTGTAATGCTGACAGATCCTTTGCATTCTGCGACAGTGGAAAGTATTTCCTTATCAACAATAACATGACCTTGTCCATTCCTGCAGCTTGAACCTGGCTGAGGACCCCGACACCTTCGCTGAGCTGAGGACCAAGGAGATCAAGAACGGAAGGTGAGAAGACAGTGTCTCTTGCCATTGCTGTCTTCTGGTCTGCACTCGTCTAGTTCTGGCATCCAACGAAGACCTGCAACAAAGTTTACAAGTGGAATTATTCAAGCGACATAATATGCAGTCGCTGCATCTCTGCATTGTCCGGTACTTTCCTGTAGAACATCCTATCACAAGTTCCCTTCCCTAAACTACGTCCAAAACTGACCCTCGTTCTCCTTCCCTGCAGACTCGCTATGTTCTCCATGTTCGGATTCTACGTCCAGGCCATCGTCACCGGCAAGGGCCCCCTCCAGAACTTGGCTGACCACCTCGACAACCCCACTGTCAACAACGCCTGGGCATATGCCACCGCTTTCACCCCCGGCCAGTAGACTTAAGTCTACACACCATTTTTTCGAATTGTAGTATACTGCCCCACGGACAAGCGCAAGCTAATTAAATAACAAGATACATTGACCTTGCTTTTGGTAATAAAAGCGGATCCGGATCACCATATTCTGACTTCGTCACTACATCCATTTGAGATCGAGTGAATGACACTGTTGCGGTGGAAGATGTATGCACATGAAGTGAGTGAATAACTTATTATCCCTTGGCACTTCATCAAATCATTCGTGTTGTACACAACCACTGCCCAAATGCTGCATAATACCTTCTTATATTATACTAGATATTATCACTTCAGTGATAATAAGAACGACCACTGGGAAAATGTTGAATTTGAATTATCATTAATGCCACAACATCGTGGAACAGAAAGGAAGCAGCAGTGCCGCACAAAATATGACAATCCCGTCATGCAATCACCCCAAATCAACTTTGGCCCATTTGTAACAAACCCATGACCATATAGGTATTGGCACAAAAGCAAATTACCCAACTTCCCGAAACTAATCTAGACAAAATCTCTCTGTTGAGTTGAGAAGCAGCGTCGCAAGAGGAGAGAATACGATTTAGTCCTAAGAAAATAAAATTGCGAACCCAAATGCACTAGCATACTGTAAACTCCCAAGTAATATATTACGTATACCCCATTTGTAGAGGCGCAGAATGAACCCAACATTCAGATAATAACAATTGAGCCTACACCAAGATACATAATTTGCAAACTCCAGGATACTCACGAAATATCCAGACATGTATGCCATCAGAAGCCTATGGCCTTTCAGCTACAAAATGAAAAGAACGGGAAGAAGCCGTTGACCTTTAGGCTTTGACAGATTTAGGCGGTTCATAGCAAATTTGTCAATTTGCTCACACGGACTGATATGCAATCAAGTCAACGAAAGAAATGTCCTTCTACAGCTCATGCAAGGTGAATCCTGAAGGCATCATGCAGGTCACGTCACTCTCAGATCTGCATTGAGACCTAAACCAAACTTAAACAAGGATCGCCCAAACAAGGATCGCCCATGTGAAGCAGGGCTTACTGACAACGCCAATGAAAAGCTCTCATACCCCACCTTTTTAGACGTTCAATTACGTGTTTGCATGGGCCAGTGAGGCCTGTAAAGGCCCGAAGTCGCTTGAGATCCTGTCATCCGGCTCCTTACACCGCCAGATCAACCTACCGTCAGAGTTGTGCAGTCCAAACGCTATGACTAGAGGCTGTGTGTCTGTCTGATCTATGTCTATGCGCACCTGCTACCGATTCAGCGAGACCACGTTGAGACTAAATATATCAACCTGACACGGGCCCGCAAAAGCAACCGCGAAAGGGGTTTTTCGAGGATCAAACAGTATGGTCCCGTGAACTTTGTTAGCACCTGGATAGTTTACATTTGATTTAGTACAGTTGGGATGAATGCTGAGATCTCGAAGATGAGGCCCTGCAGACCTTGGACTAGTTGGACGTGGAACTCTTGGTCTTCATCGCCCATTAGTCGGGCATGGACCTGCAGTTCGCGAGCATGTGTATCAGAGCTTAGCTTCTGAAAAGCAATCAAAAAGAAGGTGTACCTAGTAAAGCTGGTAAATCTCCATCGTCATGCACTTTGTCAGCCTTTTAAAACGAACGGATGGGAACAGCGTCTCGCGCGTCTACGAGTCAGAAGTCCACAATGACTTAACGAGCAACAGGATCTTGTGTCGTGCTCTCGCAGTTGCCAGAGAACCTTGCTGACTCAATGTCTCTTCAAAACGTGCATCATACAGCAAGAGACTCGATCATCTCCCCACCTTGACGGCAGCCTTGCAAACGGCCACAAAGTCCAGAACTGCGGCCTTCAGTCTCTCGAGTCCCGGGTCCTGCACAGCGGGTGGCGCGGGCAGGTTCGCCAGCAATCCCTGGAGGCCACGTGTCGGCTCCAGGAACGCTCGGCAGACCCCCAGAACCCCGCTGTTAACCTGCAGCGCTACGCTCCCCTGCAGTAGCCTCTGCACTGACGTCAGCACCGGCGCGGGCCGCTCGATCTCGACCCGCAGCGCATGCGCTCTATCCGCCAGTATTCCGACCGCGTTCTCGATCGGGGTTATCTCGGTAACCGCGGTCCGGGTCACCTTCAACCGGCGCACGAGGCTCGGGAAGCTGCCGGCGACGCTCATGACGGTGCGCCGCTTCCACTGCGTCTCTAACCCGCCTGGGGTTTGGCCGTCCTTAACGAAACCCGTATCGCAGTAAAACTCGGAAACGCCCATGTGGCGGGGGGGCTGGCTGTTGGGGCTCCCGGGGCTCCCGGGGGGGGGGTCAATCGGTCTGTCGGTTAGTGCGGAAACTGGTTCTAAGGCCGTGATCTGTAAATACGCAGCCCCCCCCGGGAGGTTTTGCACGACGCGCGAGTCCGAGATGATTCCTATCCTGTGGTCGGGGGATCCCTCCGGGGCGGAGGAGCTCAGCCGTTCGATCATGTCGCCCAGCCGCACCGCGCTAGATTCTCTGTACACGAACTCGGAGCGGTCAAGGGGGCCGAAGACGGCGCCGTAGAAGCCGACACGGTAGTACGTGGCGTCGCGGAACGAAATGTCCTGCTCCTGCAAAAGATCACCGAATCGACAAGGTTTAGCAGTCTAACAAATACAGATAGGTTCACCAGAATCTGAGAAGCAGCTTCATTAGAGTTGAAGACAGACTGCGGAAGGTTACAAAATGCTTGAGGAAAGTCAGAGGAGGGCCAGCAAAAGGCAAAGCGTACGTCTCATCTGTATTTGTTGATTGTGACTCCAGTGCACTTGCTACGGATTGCTTATGTTGAGGTCTCTTTGGAAACAGGTCTGCTTCCATTCAGGGCACACAAGTATGGAGACGGACGTGTCTAACTGACAACAGAAACGCTCAGTAAAAGTTTTGGTCACGCAAGACTTGAGGACGACACAGCGACTAGGAGCACGAGAACAGAGCCTGATCAGAAACGGGCTGTGCCCGAAATACACGTCACTGCCCGCTCAAGCGAAAGGGATGAATTGACATACCGTGACGACGGCTCTGTCTAGCTGACGCTAAAAGCGCCGAGTGATTGGTTCAGCACACGGCTCACTTCAAGACGACACACCAACTCAGAAGCAGGAGACGAGTGTGTTTCGAGTCACACCCTTCAAGTGATTTGGCTGCTCTTCTCTTGCGACTCGAAACAGAGGTCCCTGCCCGTCCAAGTGAAACCATTGGGACACGCGAGATCGAAGATGCCGCCCGTTTTGTAAATCTGTGCTGAAAAGCTAACGATAGGGTAAAGCTTCCCCACCTGCTCCCGTATCGCCTCGTACACCCCGCGCAGCATCTCGTGCGCGTGCGCCAGCTGCTTATAGTCCGCCCGGCTCTTATACGCGGGCAGCTGCAGCTCCATAAGGTCGGTGCACGCGTGGAAGAGCGCGGCCTTATCGCAGAAGCGGTACGCCATTTGGAGGTAGCGCAGCGCGGTGTCGACGCTGATCTTGCTGCTGCGACTCCCCGGGTCGTCCAGGGTTTCGGGGAGCGACGGGCACAGCCGGCGGAGGTGGGCGAGGTCGCCTGGAGTCCACACCGGGTCGCCCCGGTGGATGAGCGCCTGCAGGATTCGACGGGGTTAGCGAAAGCGGTCTCGCTTCGTCAGGAACTTGAAGGACGGTATACTGCTTGCACCGCTTCCTGTGACGGCTGCTTTGATCTTTGGAGCGATGATTGGAAGACGGACCATTGACATGCACCTGACCCACGGCTTGTGGCAGACAATGCTAGCCCCGAAATGAGTCTGCCTTTGTCCACCACTATGGTGGTATTGGCGGAAGGGCGATGCAGCAAAGAGATACACAAGCACTGCTTTCCGGCCGCTCCCTCACCTGCATGATGACGCCCGCAACCATGAGTGCGCACTACGCCACTCAAAATGAGGTATGTGGTCATAACCTGAGACTCTTCAACCCTAACCCCTGAGGCATAACCTGCTTTTGATCCACCTTCTTACCTGCATGATGACGCCAGCGACCGTAAGTGCGCACTGCGCCGCCTCCGCCCACGCCTGCCGCCCCTGGTGAAACTCGCACAGGTTCAGCAGCCACAAAACTCGTAACTCCAGCACGTGCGAGTACGCCACCGCCATGCGTGCGTAGCTCTCCGAGGGGTCGTGCCACGTGGCGGTCTGTGATACGTGCAGGGAGTGCTGCACCGAGCTCTCCAGCGCACGGGTTAGGGTCCGCATCAGCTCTCTGACGTCAGCCCAGCCGTCAGCTTTTGGCTGGCCGCCGGGGCTCGTTCCGAGGGGGGGAGTCGCCGAGTCAAAGATCGAGAAGAAGGAGTCTTCCGCCGTCAGATCGGACGGAGTGGTCGCAGACGGCTCCGCCGGTGGATCCCCGGAGGGGGTTCCGTTCCGTTCTGTTTCCGCTCCACTACCCGCCGGACTACTTTCCGGCACCGACAGCTGGTGCAGCCCCGTCAAAATCCCGCCGTTCGGTGCTGACGTAAGCAGCCGCGGCAAAGGTTCCGGCCCGTCTCCCCGCGGCGTGATCTCGCTCTGAAACGCCTCGACGGTCGGTAGGTACAAATCGATTGCATCGGCCGCTGGGCCGGAGTCCGCCCCCGGTTGACTCTCCCGAGGGGACTCTCGCTCCTTCTCGAACCCGACAACGGCCCCCGTCGAGAGACCGGCCTCCGCTAACAGCTTTTCGCAGCCCTCTCTAGAGACCAGTTCTTCGAGGAGCGCCTTAAGACGCGCGACTTGCGCGCGAGACTCGGGCGGAGGTTCGGTGGGGGGTGCCCCGGGGGCAGAGCACGAGTCGAGCACTTGGATTGATGAGAGGAGCTCCGAGAGCGTGAGGCTGAGGAGGGTGCGCGTGGACTGGAGGGATCCCTCTCGGCGGTGGATGGAGCTGAGGAGGAGCAGGAGGCACGCGGCCGCGCGTGCGCGAATGGCGCGCAAGCTGCAGAGAGGTGAGATGCTTGAGACGACGTCTTGGAAAGCCTGTTGAAAGGGTACTAATCTCGCTTGAGGCGACAAGCTTTTGCATTATCTAAGTAAGAACATTTCAGCGTAAGAAGAAGTGATCAGGTGCATGCGCACGAAGAGAAAGTGCACACTCGATGGACATAGCTTCAACCACGACGACCGTGGAGAGAGTGCTAAAGCAAGATTGGCGAAATCAAAGGCGTTCGGCAGCATACCACCACGGTCAGAATATCAAGCGAGATGGCCTGTTCAAGCTTCATTTCCGAAAAGGTCAGTCACTCAGCTTTCATCTTTTCAACGTAACTAGACCACCACAAGAAAGGCATTCCAATCCGGTGTTCGCATGCATGCCGTTCAGGCTGCACAGCTTTCCAGGACCGTCCCGGTTACATTCACCCTGTCCTCCTTAGTTTCTCTCCGGAACGTACCTTGCCGTCATAACCCTCAGCAGGTGGAACGCCAACTCCTTGACGCATCCGCCGTTGGCGGGCTCCAGAAGCGCCCCCCCATGCCGCTCGAGCAGCGTCTCTAACAGCGGCGCCAAAAGCGCCCAGACCGCAACGGACTGCGGCTTGGCGAGGAACGCGTTGAGGAGGGGGAAGAGCAGAGCTTCGGAAGGCGGGGAGGGGGATCCCCGCTCGGCGGTGCAGTGGTTGGAATAGAGGCGGACGGTTCGGAGGACCTCGCGGCTTGTGCGCGCGCTCAGATTGCCTTCCCAGAGGTCCTGCGCGAAAGGGGGAGTGCGTTTTCAGTTGCCTTCGTGGCAGGTTTGTGAAAATGCTCAGAGCAGCCGCTGTTAGATCGTTCGCTTGTTTGGCGGCGGAGTTGATCAATGGAACCAAAGGCTAGGGACTGGACTGAAAAGCAGAGTCTCGAACGGAGGCACAATCTGCTTTCTAATGAAGCTAATACGATGTATCATCTTCTAATGAAGCCCCTTGTGAATTGTTTCTTTCCCCTGGATCCGAGATATGCTAAACCTGCAAAAGATTGTGAAGACCGAAGCGGAAGGTACCACTGTTACGTATGCAAGCGCCTAGAGAAAAGATGCGAAGTGATGCTTTCCTCCAAACCAAAGGGGCGACATACTTACCAGCCTTTCCCGCAGGAAGGCGGGCAGGTCCTCTCGCGACTGCGGCACGCGCGGCGTCGTTTTGCGGCTTGCCTGGATCTGAGAGAGGGCCTCCCGGAGATGAGCCTTGTGGGCGATGCCCTGCCGGGCAAACGACTGCTCCAAGGAAGCCTGCGGATTGGAATCGGACCTAAAGTGAGCTGCCGAAATCGTGAGAGCTTGAATCTGCTCAACGGGACTGACGGCGCCCTTATAATCCGCTAGGCTCAATCAAGGGCGTGATAGACACACGTGGCTCTTTACGATGCTTGACATGGTATTGGAAGTCCGTCCGGCTGGCGCTGAGAGGGTCCCGATCGCCTTAATGGGTGACTACATGGGCTTCTCTTTGACTTCTGAGACAACATCTACATGACGTCAGGTTTGGCGGCATTCCTGAGGTACGTCGTCACCACACCGGAAAAGGACCTCAAGGGCGCCCTCCTAAAGCACAAGCCTCACCTTTTTGTGGTGTCGGATCGCGTTCGTGATGTAATGTTGCACCGAGGGGGACAGCTTCTCGGAGAAGAGGTGCGCCGAAAGCCCCCACCCCGGAGGGCTGGAACTCCCGGGCTGAGCCCCCGGGGGGACAGGTGCCCACTGCAAAGACAAAAGTAGCCTGCCTTAGACTCCGGAAAGATCGTGAGCGAAGCGTCAGTTTCTCCCTTGGGTATTCTGGAACCTGTGAAGCAGATGGTCCTTTGAATGTTGCGAGACACGGCGTAGTGCGGTCTTCAAGTTTCTGGAGTCTCTAGCTCGGTAATTCAAAGCTGTCTGTTCGAGTCAAAGCTTTCAGCCAGCATGTTTTCCTGGCCTGCGAAGTCCGACAAGACGGTTTGAACGGTCCGAAGGCATGATTACGAATCAGCGTCACCAACCTATCTGGACTTGGAAGCAACTAGCCCCCTCCGAAACAGGCGATACATAGATTGAGCCAACTTCTGAGGGTTCTGAAATTTGTGGACCCAGCTCCACTCACCTGGAAGAGCTCCAAAGCTCGCTCCAGCAGTTGAAAGAAGGCACGAGCCCTGTGCTCCTTGCCGTGCCACAGGCTCGTGACGAGCGGCGCGTCGAGGCCTTCCAGCACGGTCAGCACGCACGTCAGCAGTTCCCGCTGCAGGCCCGGCGCTTGTTCCGTGACTAGAGTTGGCTCTTGCAGCACCTGGAAAAGAAGCGAGGACCGGTTTGGTGATTTGCA